CAGACTTCCAGTCCCAACAAGATGCATCCCACCCCTACACCACAGCATAGTTTCGTAATCTGAAACGCTGCTCATGTCCACCTAAAAAGAATAATTGTCTGCAGCAGATAAACAGGCGCATTCCAAACCACCAACTAAATAGTTGTTGATGATCTGCAAGAACCAAGCATGTCGCATGCCGCAATGCGGAGATTGCTTTCAGGATGAAGTCCGAAAACTTATCATACGCATCTCACATGCGTAACTTAGGAACCTGCAGCTTCAGGAAACACTCCGCAAATCAAGAATGAAAGTGCCAATGTTGCCACAGATATGTGATGAAGCTCAGAAGAGACAAACATTTTGGTTACAATGGATTGCAGCAAACGAAAAGACATTGGTCGCCTACCATCAGGTCACTCTATGCGCATTAGAACTCAACGAGGAAAACTCATTACCCTGGATTTACCTCCATCCCCCAGTCGAGAAATATGTATACCTCTGCCCTTATGCATCAATCCGTCATCGCGACTTCAAGTTTATTACAGCCCATACATACTATGACCTTTCCATAAGTGTTAAAATGGCTTCAAAATTACTACAAAACTGACACACTTTCTATCTTCGTCTTCAGAAGCCCTCCATTGCGCCGGTCCAAGACTATTCACCATCATACCTTATGTTTCGTATTTTCCCGGACAAAATGCATAGTGTTCGCCTTACTGAAGATGGAGCATAACGTGGCAGTATGTTATCAGCTGTCACAAAGGCATATACTCCTTTCACTGAAAACAGCTAACAACAAGTATCTACTGACTGAAAACAACTGAAGCATACTAACAAACATATGATGGCCGTAGAGTAGTCATCATTCATCTAATGAAATTTTTTAAAAGGCACCTTTAGTAGGAAATAACTTGAAAAAACGCTTCGGTATTAAACAATTCTTGTAAGGACAGTAACTTGCACGTTATTTAAACATAGAAACAACGAATAGCTACGCCTGGTGCGACCGCCAGGGTATCATGTAAAGCCAGTTATCATGGTCCAACTATCCACTGCCACCTGCAGGTCTTTAAGACAGGAAGAGGCTTTTCCAAGTCCAAGTTACTGGGGCTTGAGGAGTTAGTCATCATGAAACGAACCTTCATTTCTTCATTATATAACGGCTGCACTACTTTGGAGTGTACGCGCTAGAGAGCTGGAATGGTGGCGTCAAGTGCCCCAGTTTCCAAGGATTGGGCACTTACCCTTGAATTACAAAATCTATAGTTAGTCGACCTAAAGTGTGAGTCAGGATTAATGCTCCTTCTAGCATAACTCACGCATGGATTTTCTCTTGTGGGGGAGAGGTGTCATTGTGAGTAGAGAAATTTTCGTTGCGCTGGATCAACACCTAAGTCAACGACCGAGAGTCCTACTTCGTCAGACGAATATTCGCAAGCTCCTGAGCAAGTGGTCAGTGGTGAAGGAAGTTGCAAATGTTAGCCAGTCAGCAGTTCGGTCTTTCAACAGATCATCAGGCTGGCAATACCCCGCGCTTGAGTATTTTGCCGGATCCGGATTAACTGACTGTTACCAGAACTATGCAGCTTTGAAAAAAAGAGTCGTGAAAAGAGTGAGGTGGATATCTACATCACTTCCTCTGTTGGACCCCATCAAATCCGAAGCAGAAAATCCCAGAGCAAGAGGGAATCGGTGTGATGTTCAATCAAACTGTTCAGGATGGCAAAGTGCTTTGTCAGGACGACTTACATACGGTCACCCGGAGATCTTCATGACGGCAATCGCATGTTGGATGCAATAGATCTTTCTTTCAGACCAGGTGATAGAATAGCCTTGCTTTCGTTGCTATTAAGTATTTCTAAAGTCAGCTTTGTAGGCTACATGAGGAATGGGAGCGGCGAGTTACTTGCTATCTGACTCTAATCCTTTCAGAGAGTCAAGATAGACCCAGAACGTCAAAATTTGGAGCCAGCAACTTAGTGGAACAACAATAAAGTCTCTTTTCTCAGAGTGAGCGTCCGCAAAGGAGAAGGCCTCTGTAGATGACCGTAGAATTCTGCCTCCACTAAGCAAGGGTGGAACATGGCTTCGGGCCCAAGTATATCCGCAAAATACGGCTAACTCGTCCTGTCGACTAATGTTTCAGCGACCTCAGGTGAGTTGATGTCATGGTCTTTCAGAAGGACCTGGACCAAAAAGGCAGGGAAAGTGATAGGAACCAGTAGGGTACAAATACCTTATTTCAATAGTTACGCTAGCCGTACAATATTCTTAAAAGAAATAATTTCTGCATCTAATGATAAGGCAATTAAAAGCACTGATTTGAAATGAGTGACAGATGTTACTTTAGTGTCCAGTTTGATGAGTATAAAATCATGGTGGTCGTGGCTAGATCAGACAGCAAATACTGTGATTTTAAGTATCTAAGTGACCACTTCTATCCGGCGCAACGTTTTACCTTCCTTTTGTTCACAGCTTCAGAAGTGAGGGTTTGAAAACACCTCAGACCAGTGCCAGATTGTATGCTACTTCTAGATGATACACCTAAAAGACTAAAATGAGCAGAAACGGAAGAATTTGGCGAAATGACGTCAGTGAACAACGTTTTTGTTGCCTATGGTCTACGCAGGCCACCTCAGGGACGAAGAGGACGCCACCGGCTGAGTATAACAGAATTAGGAAAACACTTGCACCTTTCAGAGAAGATACTGGGTAGGGAGCTGGAGTTGTTTCAGCATTCAGTCCCAGACACTCATCACAGAACTGCCGGTCTGCAAGGTCGTTCTTCCGGAAAAATAGTGATGGGAAGGCTAGGGAGCGTCGGAACGTCTGACGATCCCCACTTCCAGCGTATGCCTGAACTCAGATGGGATGGCCTACCGTTTGTCCTGGGATGAGCCATGACTTAGCAAAATTTAGTGGCGCAAAACGTGATGCATCGAGAACTGCACACAGTGCTTTGGAGTGAATGTGTTAGGGCATGGTTGAACAATGGGGGCACAAGAACCAGAAATATCAGCTTTGAAGTTAACCGGGTCGACTGAAAGTCGACAGGTGACAACATTGTGTTAACCTGCACATGCAAGTAACCGACTTTCCCGCGGAGGGTCCATGCTAAAACTGCCATTACTGATGCCTACAATTAAGAAAACGGCGATGAGGTTCAAGCAAGATTGGGGAATTTGCAAAAATGTTTCAATCACTAAGTGGACCACCCGAATAGGTCGACGTTACCGGTCCCAAAACGGCGGTCCCTCAGGGATTCCACTCTCATACCCCACCACAGGGCGAAGATGGGAGTGGGATCAAACTTTCTTTACATACGGCTTGTGCCTTATGGGATGCCCCACCGAAGGAAGTAGCCACAGCTACATCAGTCGACTTTTTCATACGACCATTGGATAAGTACGTGAGTGCGAACGGCCTACCACGAACATCTGTCGGTAGCAACTGACGATATACTCTTCTGTCCCTGTATTCTCTAAGCCCGGTATCTGCAAAAAGGTGCATCCCTCCTCCATATTACTGCCAGTAACACCTATCTTTACACAAGTTCTATTTACCGATCTTTTTATCGTTACCCACTCAGGCTATTTCTAGCACATTTTAAGTGACACTTAATACTTACTTTCGGGCGTGCACAAAAACAGGAATCGCGAAGGGTTAATTTATCTTATCAGCAGCTCTGTTGTTTCCCAAACAAACCAAGCTACAATTTGAAAAAACTTCTGATAGACAGTCACTACCTCTGAAGTTGCAAGCAAGAAAAACGCAAAGGCTTCTGTGACCACTGACGGAGTGCGACCGAAAAAAAGAACCGGGCTTCAAGACCCAAAAAGCGAAAGCTCAAAAACTGTAAGTTTTCTCCACTCACACGTCTGGTGTTGGATCTTGGGTAGGCAAGATATTGAGCGCGCGGGGTTGTACAAAAGTCGGACGTAAGACCTCATCGTTTGCTGCATTGATTACGTTGGCGTGTGCCCCAGTATCAACCAGGAGTCGGGCCCGAAAACGAAGATCTGGTGTCGGGAAAGGGCAGTGGGCGAGGGTTAAGCGAGCAACGCCAGTCACCATCGTGTGCATCTTGCACTTCTTGAAATCAAAGATGCACGTTTGGCCCATTTTCTCGCATTGACAACATTGTTTCTGCCAGTCCGGAAACTGACCACAGTATTCCTCGTCGAGGCCGATGGTAGTGGCCTTTTCAAGAAGACCCAGAACTTACTCGAGAAACATCAATGCGGGGCTACTGTTGTCATTTCATTTGGCTTCAGATGCCGTAGAACCCTTCATGCAGTCACTAGGAGTTCGTGCGACAGCGCTAGCATTTACATTGCTACAGGCGTGAAATCTACAGTAAGATAAGTGTCATACATTAAGATCGAAATGTAGAAAACCAAATAAATCTTTATTCTGGCAAGATTGTATGGTTTTGGCCACATGTAAACTCAAGTCTTGCACCTTAACGAAAATGGATTCCGTGCCAATCTGACAATCATGACTGCGTGGCAAATGTTCAAATAGCTTGGTCACAGTTGTTTATATCAAGTCCGTAATAAATTTGTAGATATCGCCCAAACAATGGCCCATAGACTCTCCTGTTTCATTCCGAGAGCATCTGAAACATTTGAAAATAACAAAAGGAATCATATTAGATCAGGTTGATGACAAAGGTTCAAAGCGCACGTCGAAGGCATGGCAGCACTGCATCTAGATCTCTTGGGATAAATACAGCTGAGGAGCGATTTGATGATGACGTAAACGTAGGTTACGACTTCAGGTCATATGTTCTATGGCACATTTTATGTGACACCTTGAAGCATTCTCATGGGGGACAGGTAGAAATTACTTGAACATGAAAAAATGAATATCAAACATAGCTTTCGCTTACTAAGAACCTTTAGAACTGGTTACGCTATATCCGTAGAGATGGTTGTAATAAGACGATTAGATACCATCAGACACGAACTCGATGTCAACTTGCAGTCGCAAAAAGACTGTATGGTCTAAGTGATTTTGAGTCTGCCCTCTATCATTTATTCATTCTTTTTTCCGACAGTTTTAAGGAAATAAAATCTGGAAGTTCATTGGTTTTGAATGTGGAGTTGATTCAGACAATTGCATCTTATGTTTATTCATCATGAGTCTGAAATTGTTTAGAAGCGTCTATTTCAGACAGGACGCTACTGTCAAGGTTGGTGTTTTCGTCTTTTGGGTGTCATTTTCATCCATTCACCGTAGAGAGTGTTTTTTCCATTTCGATATCTTTAAATAACATCCCACAAAAGGCGATGTGACAGACCTCAAGCAGATGTCCCATTGGTTCTGCAGCCACACAACTCTTTGTCTCCTTCAGATACCTTAAGAAGAAATGGCCTTTCACTGTGAGCAGCTCGGAAGTGTTAACCGCCTGCACGCTTCCAGGAGTACACAAGACCAAATCAAACAAAACCTATCCTCCTCAACTCTGTCCCCTCCTTTATAAAGGAAGGTAAACGTATACGTTTACCTCCTGATACTAACATTAAGTCCCTTACACCTTCCCTAAGTCCTCACTCTGCAACCATTGCCAATGATGAAAGCCATCGAGACCTCGTTCTTAGTCTCCTAGGGCATCTCCACCGATTTTATGTAGGAGCTAGTACTACTTGGGGTTGTTAAGGATATCGACAAGAAGAGGACGATGGTTAGTGGAACCATCACCGAAAAGGATGGTACCTTGACCACCTCCCAGGATAAGTAGCTTGAACGTTGAGCGGAACACTTTGAAGCACAGTTCATCTAACCCTCCGCAACTCTTCAGTTGCCCAACATCCGGCCTGAACCAGAATTGGATGTAGATATTGATCCTCCAACTCTGTTTGAAATTGAAAAGGGTGTATCGAACCTGAAACGATACAAAGGAGCAGGAATTGACCGTTTTTTCCACCCGAAGTTTTCAAGGATGCTGGTAGGAAATTGGCAATTAAATTGACGGAGTTACTAGGTAGCGCATGGGAATCAGAGGTAGTGCGTCAGACTGGCGTACTTTATTAATCATCCCACTCTATAAGAAGGGGGTATGTTCTTGTGGCAACCATAAGGGAACTAGTTCGACTAATATTGTGTCCAAGATCCTGGGGTCCATAGTTATCCGACGCCCAACTGGAGCTCAAGAACAAAAACTCGAGGACACTGGGCAGGTTCCAGATAGAGCTGAACAAGAGTGCATCGATCATATTTTTACGCTACGGCAGGTTCTAGAGCTGTGGCTCAACGGTTTAGGGAGGTGAGTATCAACCATTCGGTGACGGGTTCGAACCCCTATCAACCTACCAAGGTTTGGGGAGTCAGGCTGTATCACTAGCCCTCGCTCAATAGATGTGACTCATTGGCTACTGCACGGATATGCATATGGTAGCTGTGTGTCTCCTTCGTCGTTCGTTTTTCTTGACCTAAAGGTGGCATTCGACTAAGTCGAGCGTAAGGTGTTGTGGCAGTGTCTGAGTGCAAAGGGAGTACCGGGAAAGTATATAACGCCAATCAGAGCTCTCTACTCGAACTCACACAGCCGTGTCAGGGCTTACGGAAAGTTGTCATATGAATTGAGGTTAACTAGTGGCGTTCGCTAGGGATGTTCATTGTCACTGTTCCTATATGGCTTCGTCGTGGACGTACTAGTGGACATAACCTTAGGTACGTCTGGCTTTACGTGGATTGGAGGTCATGCGGTTGACTCAGGGTATGCAGACGATATTATCCTGCTGGGTGAAGACGCTGACAAAATGTAAGGTCTTCTGAATGCATTGAGCAGAAATTTGAGTATGTTTGGGATGCGTTTCGCACCTGTCAAATGTGAGATAATGCTCTAGAACTGGTCTACTGCAAAAACTCCCAGTTTAATGATAGGGAGTAAGGTGGTGGAATGTGTCGACCACTTCACTCACCTGTGGAGTAGTATCTGCCCGAATGGGATGGTTGCTGACGAAATCTCGGCTCGGATACAGAAGACCCGTTTGGTATTTGCCAACTTGCGTCATCTGTGGCACCGACTAGCGAGATATCCGGCTATCTTTCAAAGGACGAGTACACCGCGCTGCAGTCTGTTCTGTGCTGTCATACAATTGTGAGACGTCCGTTAAAAGTAGAAGACATGAAGCGATTACAGGGTTTTGGTTATAGGTATATTCTCGTAGCATTAGTATCGTCTGGTGGAATCACTATGTGGGCAACGTTGAAGCCAGACGAAGGGTACTAAAGAAGACAGGCAAGTCGATTGATGAGGTTATGAGCCTTCATCGGTTTAGGTGGCTTGGACATGTACTGCGCACTCCGAGACACCTCCTATCACGACATGCCACTCAGGGAGAAATTGGATTATGTTGGGAGAAGGCTCAAGGTGGCCAGACCAAGATGTGGGACCAGTCGATGAATTCCCTGACTATCGGTCTGAACCGTGTTGGGATATGTATACTGCTTGGTTGATGTCCTCGAGACGATAGGAGTCAGTGGTTGAGGACTCTTGGTGACATGTCTGAAAATCGGTCGCAGTGACGCAGATGTATTCACTCCTTTATGTCATCCAAAGCGTGAATATTCGTACTAAGCTTTATCTTCGGACATTTTATTCTCTGACACAACTGTACCCACTTTAATATCACTCTTTTTCTATTCACCTGTTCTTTGTGTACTAGTATGAAGTGTGGCAACTTGAGCTGATGCACTTGCATGCAAGGTTCTTCGTTGATCTTGTCTTTATTTATCTCTCGTGGAGTATTTGACGTAAGATGCGGTTCATGTTACTCGTCGTGTCACTGGAAGTTATATGCATTCTCATGCTAAAAGGGTTGATGCTTGAGATTACATAACTTGGGAAGCTTCTACTGAATTGTATGTACACCATTTTCATTGCGAATAGTTTTCAACGTCCCACATATGTTATAGGTCAGCCAGTATTATGTCGACAGTGTGTCAGCGAGTATCGTCTTTGGCAGTTGTTTATGCCAAACAATGCGGCTTAAACTCTGTGTTGAAAATGAAATGTTTTGAAGGTATTCTGTAAGCATTTTCAAGCAAGTTTATGAACTTACTCGTGATGAGTGCTCCATCAGCTTTTTGTAAGACCATCTGGATCCACAGGGTTGACGTCAGGACTCTATGGAAAGTTGTTTTAACAGAAACGGTTAGATTTACGAAATTAAGTGTTCTTTAGTTTTGCTTTCGATCGTGACAGCAGGGGTGACCTATATTATAGCCTTCTGAAAGTAATCATGAAAAACATACATCGTTGCTCCACTTACCACTTCCAGGTTCTGGCTGCTAACTGTAAAGGTTTATGTAAATGTAACAGTTACATGTTTAACTGATTCACGACATTCAAGTAATGTGGGTTGGTGAAATTGAAGTTTTGGTTTTTGATGATTGATGAGGCGTACTCATCAATTATGAAGTCCACCAATTTTGCAGTTTTAACAACACAGATTAACAATTAAGTTGTGCGGAAGGCACACCTTCCTTTCTATCGTGTAACTACCAAGCTGTACCTTTTTCACTTTAAAAACCCTCAACATGCTGCTTGACGTCATCTGAACACGAAGTATCCCGGTAATAGATGTCATTTCGTTTCAAGGTCTCCAAACTTACCTTTCACTTTCAAGTAAAGGCATTTATTTATTTCCATCTAAAAATGGAAATAATTACTTTTATGCTATACTGGGGTGGAAGAAAATGGTAAGTTTGATCAATATATTTCGTTAAGTAGAGAAAAAGTAATAAGTACATTATTAAGACTGTTCTTTCCAACTAAATGTTAACTCCAACCCTCCCAAACCATCCAGTAACGTAGACCATTATTAAGGAATTCAGTTTTGTATATGAGCAGTACAGGTTGTACGCCGAATTCGTTAGGCCGGAAAATAAAGACAAATTTAAGATCCAGACAATCAACCGGAATTCTATCGGTTTGCGGTGGTAGTTTTGAAGCCTCATAGAAGAGTCAAGTGGTTTGTCAAATAAAGCCTTAGGGTTCTGACAGTTGCGTATTGTCAGCATTCCATCTTCCGAAATAATGAATTGCTACCAATAACTAAGTTATTGGAAAGCATTGCAAAAATATGAATTCCTCTGACGTTTATTGTTATCAGTATCAACACAGAACCAGGCTTAACTGCTTTAGGGTCCAAGCTACAACACATATCAGCACATCATGCGACAAAACAATAAAAAGAGAAGGAAGAGTCCACCAGGAGCTGTAGAAAACAGTAATATAAAGGAAGAAGGAATAAGAAAGTGCTGAATTCACTATGACAGCTAGATTGAGAATAATGTGTACATACATCTGTGCCACTGACATCAATTCTGAGCGAAATCGCTTAGAGTCTCCAGTCATTTGTTTCTGTTGTCGTGCTGACCCCAAGCAGGAATTCTATATTTTCCTACACGTCTCATACTAATAGTCGAAGACTTTACACATTGTCATATATTAGTTTAGCCACCGCGAACCTTTTTCCAGCCTGAACTTACTTCAGGTAACATTGTGCGTCAAGACAGACGTTGACTAGTTATGCGTAATATATCCCAGCCACCTGAGTCGATGAAGGTTCACTACCTCATTAACTAACTATCCTCTCCTCCGTAAAACTCCATCTTCTATATTATTCACACCGAGGCAACACGACAGCCTATGCTACGAAAGCGACGGTAGTGGAACACCTGAAGCATCATGTCCTCTGACTTTAATGAATAAATATTATTCAAAAATTCCAACTGTTTGTTTGGTCACGGGCAGTAATTTTACTAGAAAGATTGCCAAGTTAAAAACAGCATTGTGCGTAAACTTTTTATTGCAAACTGCATTGCAGATCGCTTGACCCTTGATAAACAGTCAGATATCACGCAGGTGTCATAAGTGGTGAAAACAAGTTGGGCTTTTTGTATGCACATATAGATTTTGTCGGCCACTAACCCACTAGGGTTGATCCAACTTCCCAGATACGTGAAGTGTTCAACGTACTCAATCATTTCACTCTCTATTGTTACCCGTGGTACAGCTGAAGACCAGTCCTTGAGCAGCAATTTGCACTTGAGTGGTGAGAAACGCATCCCAAACGTTCTCGAATTGCCACTCTAGATGTTCAGAGGACTACATCTTGTCAGTGTCGTCACCTAACAAGACTGTCATGTGTATTCTACGTCTACTGATGTTCCATTCAGAATCCAACTGCATAGCGCTCAATGAAATAGTAGATGGAAGCCAGTTGAACTGTTGCTGGAAGTGTTCCACCCATCTCCCATGCGAACGAATCAAAGACCCATCCTTCTCCGCTGTAGTCTCACTAGTCATTGACCTTTTCATCCCAGTTCCCTTAATAGAACTAAATAGAACTGTCTGCTGTCACCTATCGACGCTGCTACAGTCTTCATCTTTGTTCTTACAGCAGAATGGCGATGGCGTAAGGCTTCTTCCAGATGAGTGATGTTGCTCAGTTCTAATAATTGTCGACCCAGTTTCTTACTGAAAACGGCATTAGTACTCTTATTTTCTAACTGCATTCGCAATCGTCTTCTTGGTAAGGTTTTCCTACGCGCATTTAGATGCAGACATATACGCTCTTAAACCAACGCATAGTAGCTGTCCTCTGATATTGCATAGTATTTAGAAAGTTTCACTTTATCCACTGAGAAGCACATATTGGCTTATCTCCAGGGTTCTCTTACTCGTACAACCGAACGGTCACCGTTATCGTTGCCGGCCTGGTTCCACTTAGTGCTCGTTTTAACAATCGGAGATATGATTCGAGAGGTAATTATGATAATTCTTCAAAAAGATCACCCTGCTTGATGTCGATAGCCAAATAAGTGACTGGAATCACACTGCAAACTACTTGCTCATTACCGTAAATGCATGTGTTTTTGTTTGGAGTGTTTCTGTTTTCGTTGAGTGGCATCTACGAATTTCCAACAATTCCATAAAGTTGAGGGGTGCAAGGTTCCGTAATATCAAGGAGAAACTATCTACCTCATTACATTTAGTTATGAAAAATCTGTCACAAAATTTTACTCAGGTTATTAAATTCGTAGTTGCTGCATGTTGTATGAATTTTAGATGTAATCGCCACAATTCGGTTGTGGCATATCTGTCACAATAAAGTCATTAAGGTTAAATATGCATAAGGTTTGTGAAAATCAGCTGTGAGAAATAGACAAGGATATCGGTTATGAATTGGAATATAATTGAACTTACATGAGAAATAAATTATATTAGCACAACATTTAATGGTCATCAGTTACAGTCTAAAAGCGGAAATAGTAATACGATCGAGTAATTACTTTCATTTTAAAGTGACAAATCTTAGTCAGTAGAGTTTAAGGCCATAAGCCAACGAATGAGATGAAAATGTTTAAAACACTTAACTACAGTTATAATGTGGTAATCCAGTCGTTTTATCTGTAGTACTTCTGAACAGTAATTGTGAGGCAGCTGCTTGTTTAATCTTTTACACGATGTTAATTACGATGATTTATTTTGTGTGGTGTTTTACACTATTGTAGCTGAGGTTCAATTCTTCTGTTTCCCATTTTCAGGTCACAGTTTGGTTTGTCATCTATTCTTCAATAGAAAACTGCAATGTTGGCTAATGAACGCTTACGTTTTAAACTTCATTCTTTAAATTATCCAACCTACGATATCTTTAATATTTCAGGTTTTTACTTTCGAATTCATTTATCTAATTAGTATACTAAAGATACAGTGAATGTAAGAAATGTAGTTGTTTGGCTTGAGGATAGACTTATTCGAGCTCTTCCTGCAGATGTAAGGTTACGTGATGTACAATCGCCAGAGTGGATAACTTATCTTAATAAGGTTTACTTCTTCAACCTACTTTATTTTTCTAATTTTTTAGTATCTTCAGACACTAAAATGTCCCTTTAATGAGTCGAACTCTTGGGCCATGTTGGACTGGCTTCTTAGTAGGGCGTTGTTATTGGAATCTAGCTCACGTAATTAAGTCTCTCATATAATAACTGTATCTTACAAATAGCTGAAACGAATACTGCGCACAACAATGTATCTGTGGATGCGAGTTCAAATGCTTCAGCAAATGCTTTCAGTAGCGTAGATGGTAATATTTATTCAATCTATTCTTTTCACTAATTTCTGTTAGTTAACACTAATGAATTCAAGGAAAATGTTCTAAAGATGGCTAAATTGTTACAGATCCCAAGTCACCCAGATATTAAGACGTTATTCAAGGTATGTATTCGCAAACTGGAATAAACATCTGCCTGTTTTCCAATTTATTAAGGCTATCTGTCTGGTTATTGAGCAGAAACTTGAAGTAAATATACTGAATGCTGCCGTCAAAGACTATGGTACATTTAAGGTGAGTTTCTTTTCTAGTTTGATATTTTATGCAATCCATATGTATAAAAAAATATTACTGTTAGTGTGACAATGATGAGAAAGTCGACTTGCTATAGAAACTAATTTGTAGCTCACAGCCAACATACAACCTTAAAGATCTTCACCTACTTGAAAGCTGACGAAAATGTGGCATAAATACGACCGGTTGTTTTGAGATTTGTCTAGTTGCCATCAACAGTATCAAAAAGATATCCGACAAGTGCCTGCCAAAGGACGATTGCATTACTCGACATTCCACTGTGCTTTCCCTTGTCATTGATAGAAGTGGTTGTTGAAGTTACACGAGATGAAACGGTTATAGATTTTCGATGATGTATGTAACTTTTGGTTATCCACAAGAACAAGTTTACCTGTTTTATCCGAGTGAAGCAAACATTCATGATTTCAGTTCAGCAGGAAAGAAGTCCAGAGCTGGAAGTAGGTGAGTTGGTCAACGCATTCGATGACTTTACCCATTGTTCTTAAGCTGGAATTCAGTACGGACCAGTTTGGCAACTTCATCTCACGTTCCACTTGTTTGGAACGTAAACCCAAGCATGCATAGATTTTGATCGAGGTGTGCAGGAGATGCTATATTTCGTCAGCATCTACACCTAACAGTACTGTCTTGTGTGAACTCTAAGTCAACCAGATGCCTCTAGACCACAAATAATTCTTTGGGAAGTCAGAGATAAGTAGAGTCAAATCCAACAGTACTTCTACCACAAAGTTAAATGGAAGTGGTAAGAGAGACCATGTTTGGCAGACCATTGATCGTCGTCACTTCAGATGACAACTCTCTGTCATCATCACAAGGCTGTGTGAGTTCTAGTAGAGAGCTATGATCAGCTTGATAAACTTGTCCAGTACTCTTTTCAAACCCAAACGCTGCCACAAAATCGACTGACATAGTAGGGTGCTACTTTCAAATCAAGTAATACTGCTCGTATCGTGCGATGAAAAGCGTGTGTGTTCCGGAACTTGTCAAATACTGGTAATCTGATCAATACACCCCCGTTCAAGCCTGAAACATACCTCTTTTTGGGTTCGCTACTCTCGAGATCCAGTTAATTGTTGAACGAACATGAAAACGACTTAAAATTCAAATGTAAACACATCACCTTTGTAACTTGTTTCCAATTTTCTGTATTATATAAATTTTCCTAATTTTCAGTCGCCTTAACACATAATTCTTCTCTTGTGTTTATTTAGATTGATATGCTGAAGCTCGATGATGTCTGTCTTGGATTCGAAGTTAGCGACCCAAGTGTAAAAGCTGCAGCAGTTGCTTTAAGAATTTTAAACATAAACAGACTGCGTAGGTTGCAGGACCAAGCTAATGCTGGCATTGTACAAGTTCAAAAACTTACGGCAGATCCAAAAACTGATGAGAAACTTGGTAAAGTTGGTTTTTAATGCTTTAATCTAAATAACAAGTGAAATATATTCATTTATGAATGTGATGAGGTTTCTTAATTTTTAATAATATTGTAATTCATAGCAACTTATTCTTATTACGAAGATAAAAATTCTATGCATACATTTGATGATCATTTTTTTCGATAAAAAAAGGATTTCCTTCTAGGCACCAGTACATCTTGACCTTATATATTGGATATGTGAGATCATATGACCTTGGTTTTTCCAGACTATCAGATATTACCAGTAGTTCCTGAGTCGTAATCGTGTTAGTATTTAAGTATAAGTATGAGCTCTAAGTTCAACATACACCGCAATGAATTCTAGCCACTTTTCTCATTCAGCCACATCTTATTTTTCAAATTGAATCCGAAGGAGAAGATATGATTATTTGAGAGCCTATGTTTGTTTATGAAGGTGCGATTATAAGGGTATTCGTAATAATAATAATAATGATAATAATAATAATAATAATAATAATAATAATAATAATAATAATAATAATTCATTCTTGCAATTACAATACACACCGGTTTACAGGTGTGATTATATACTTATACCAGTTCGACAATTCTGGCTGATACAGCTTCATTTCTCAAAGACAATCAGCAGATTTATATAAATTATATAAATAGAATTAATTTACAAAATTCAATAAGATAATGAATATCTTAAGTTTCTATACATGTCAGTTCTTCACGATAATGAATTCTATTTGTATTTCTCAGAGAAAAGATATATACGGGCAAATGTTAAACCCATTAATGAAACTAATTCACTCTAAATATAGGGAAGAATAGAGAGATGATAATATGTACACCATATAATTTGCCGACCCAGTGGCTGAATGGTTAATGCGTTCACCGTGAAACTTGAAGCTTCTGAGTCCGATCTCTAGCCGGATAGTGGGTTTAATTATCACCAGAACAGGCTGGCTTCAGGAAGAACAAATCATGTGCAGATCAAATTGCATCGCTACGCATCATCGTAGAACAGAGTACAGAATGGCAGTCAGCTCTCTACCTCAACTTCATAGACTATGAAAAGGCCCTCGACAGCGCGACCGAGAAGTAGTTTGGCAGTTGCTTCAATACTACGGAGTGCCACTAATCTTTATCAATCTCATTCAATACCTATATGAAGACGCCATATGCCAAGTGATCCACAGTGGAAAGCTCAGTGACGCCTTTGAAGTGAAGACAGACAGGAGTAAGAGAAGGCTGCCACCTACTATCACCCATGATCTCCCTGATTGTGGTGGACTGGACCAGATTATGCAGCAAACCGTGAGAAGCGAGAAGATGGGCATACACTGGTTGGACCGATGAAACGACCCTAGAAGATTTGGATTTCGCCAACGATGATGAATTATGTCCAATGTCGCACAAACTTGATGGTCTACAGGCAAAAACTAACAAGTTGACAGAAGAGGCAAGGCAGCGAGGACGGGACTTGAAGTGAACATAGAGAAGACGGAGGTGATGAAGATACCCAACCAACAACAGCATCAACAACAAGCACCAATCACCATTAACGGGAGGAACCTAAACGAAGTAGTCTCTTTCATCTACCTACCTACCTAGGCAGTATGGTTTCAAATACAGGCGGCACAGATGAGAATGTCAAAACCAGGATCGAAAAACCAAAACAGGCTTTCATTAATCTGAAATCAGTGTAGAGATCTACTGCACTCAGCATAAAGCGTGAACAACATCCGGATTTTCAACACCAATGTGAAGTCAATGCTGGTATATGGTTCAGAAACTTGGCGCGTCACGGAAAGCACTTCCAACAAACTACAGACATTCATCTACAGCTGCCTACGCTGGCTCGATACTGAAGACCGGATGGCCAGAAAGTGTAAACAATAAGGAACTCTGGCAACGAACCAACCAAGAACCTACCACCCAGCAAATATGCAGAAGAAAGTGGAGATGGATTGGATTGGGCATACACTGAGAAGACTGAGTGGGGACATCACGTGCCAGGTCAAAGGGGAAACGACGAGTTGGGCGTCCGAGGTGAGGGTGACATGGAGAAGATCATGTGAGGAAGAAATTAAAGCTTGTGGGCAGTAGTGGGGCGAGGTTCAAAAGACTGCAAAGAAGAGAGTGCAATGGACGGGTGCTACTGAAGCCCTATGTTCCACTAGGAACCCAAGAGAAAAATAATAATAATAATTTGCTAACACTAAAAACTGTCTGATTGGTTGTGTATTATAGGTCTAAAGCAGCAGGATATCTTTATCGCGGCATTAGTTTAGTTAAACGTTTTAACAAGTAGAAATCCATTTGATTGTACTTACGGGACAATAATCAAATATGAGTGTAAAATGAGAAGAGGCAATAGGCAATTTTGCGTGCAAAATTCAACACTTGCGTTATAGAAGGACAAGTGATTGCAAGGAACGCTAAAAGCTGGGTATGAGCATAAAGACTGCAGAACTTGTACAATATGGGTGTCTTTTAGAATAAAGAACTCACAAGCAGCATAATAATAACAGTTTGACGTTGTAGGAAACTCTTGGGATGTACATCATCATCATCATTATCAACATAGGACCAGGCATTACTGCGTAACGGTCCGAGTTGCCACACCTCATATCAGCACATCAAGTAAAAAGGTAGTGAGGTGAAGGATGAAGATAAGTGAATGCAGTCAAAAGAAATATAAAGTACGAGAAGAAAGGAAAGAGGAGTGATGTACAGTTACTGGTAAGCATACCATTATGGCGTTAGATAGTAGTTTACTAGAATGTTTCAGATCTGGATGAAAATAGTAAGCCTGATGATGTTCTGGAATGAAATACTGCTTCCATACTTGTTGACTTGGTGTTGGATGGAAGAAAATGTGGTTTTCTTGCAGCAGTTCGAATAGGTAGAATATCATTCTCACTATGCCTAATTCCAGAGCAGCATCTGTTTGTCACAGACGATTTTTCAGAAATCAATCCGTGATACGATAAGACAAATTATATTTTAAAGACTAAATAGAAGTCAGCATCGTGAAAAACTGTTTGGAAATCGGTACGAATATATCCGGAAAGTTGTAGTTAATTAAGCCAGACATTCAATTACGGATAAGAAATTATTCCACAAAAGATTGATTGATAAAGTGACTATTTTAAGTTGTCACACTGGTATTTATGCAACGTAGTGATGATTGAAGGTGAAAAAAGCCTGAGTCCTGAAAGAATTCGAACCAACGATTTCTATTTTGTTGAGCAATCGTCCCACCAGTGGGAATCGACAACTGACTAAGTCTTCTTTTAACTTCAGTGTCTGGGGGGTTTTTCCGGTTGTCACGTAAATGCGTAGTAAGTAGCAATCCGTTCATCATTATCAGATGATCTCATCAAGAACCAATAAATGTCCGCCTCCCCCCATTATAACTCAATGTGATTTGAATCGGAAGGAGATTACCTTTTTGGCAGGCTAGTGTGATGCTGGTTAGTAGATAGTTACATATCACTCATTCACATAATAGCCCGATAAAAGCTTGGTGGACTGAAATAAAAATGAGGGTTGGTCAGTAGTTGGGTCTCGTAGCTCAATCGGCAGTCACAAGTTGATACTAGACACTACTTGTTCAAACCCTGTTGGGACTCCGGTTTCTGGCTTAACTTCAGTTACCACCACATTACCCGAAGCAAGTTACAACGTTGCACATCAGTCTACAGATAGTACAAACTAATGAGTCGCAACAAGGTTTAAACGAGCGATGAGTTCCGTGAACTCTCGGACCCCACCTAGGGAGTTGTGATGCACCAACAGATGCTAACCCGACACAAGTATCCTTCGTCCTACGGCGCTACGTCATACACTGACCACTCCGCTTCTTCCATCCAGTCCCAGGGTTAGCAAACAGTATAGAAGCCGTAGGAACAATATATGTAACACATGTCCAAGCCACCGAAGCCGGTGTTTCCAGATGACTTCACTTAGTGAATAACGACCTCCATTATAACCAAACATAGGCTGTCATATACCAGAATTACTTATATGGTGTTGCCACCGGATACGAGCAGTGCTACGGAGGCAACGATGATCGAACACAGAGTCGTCGCACATTCTCAGCTCGGACAGGTCAGGTTTCACAGAAAGAACTGTTCGCACCAAAGTGTAGTAAACCCGACCTTTTGCGGTTAGACTAGTGCTGCGACGGCGCTAAAGGTGGCCTAAATCGACGTATGTCATTCTGGCTTTCGATGTGGTTGGAAATGTCATCATTCTCACTTTTACCGGGACTTACACAACTACCCAGATACACGAACTTTTCGACTACTTCCGACGGCTCACCATCAAGGGTGAGCAGACACAGGCTCCTGCCAATCTTGCACAAGTACTTTGCACTTCGATGGTGCAAAGCACAAACCATACTTATGGACACTGATCGCTAACTGATAAGTTGAGATTTGAGTAGCCTGTGTTGTCGCACAGTAAGATGGTGTCGTCGAATAGCCGTTCTCTGGCTAGTAGATCTACACCACCACGCATTTCCTTCAGAGTTGCCTCAAGAATGTCATCGATGGCAAAGTTACAGAAAAGTGAAGACACCGGACAGCCCTACCTAACCCCACTCCTGGTTTGGAAGAATGGAAGCAAGTGGTTGTATGCCTTCACTTTACCTGAGGTGTTATTATATAGGGCTTTCAGAATTTTATTATATCTCTCTACCACACTTACCAGAAGCATAGGAACAAAAGTTAGATTGAAAATGAATGACATTAAACTAAGCGAAAGTGTACGAGAAGAGAAACAATAAATAGATGTAGCCTAATTATACCATTCAATTTTTTGGAGATAATTAAGAGTGCCTGTATCTGCTCCACTCATTGATTCCTCTCGTTTTGAGGACCGTAACCAGGCATCGTGAATGACTCAGACTAATAGTCGTAGGTCCCGTGGACTGGTAACTGTTTTTCTCTTAACCTACTTCCAACCTAACCCTGCCTCAGCAGGTGCAACGCATATCCAAGCCACCCTAGTCGGTGGAGTTTAACAACTCTATCGACTGACCTGTCATTTTGCCTGGTACTCCATGTCTAACTTCAACATCGCTCACATATTGATTCCTACACATATGAGCAATACTACGAAGACATTCATAATAAAAACTGTAACCCCTTCGTGTCATAGACTTTTGATAGCTGCGTCGTGGCGCTTCAAGAACACGCTGCCGCAGGGTATGCTCATCCCTTGATGCGCAGTCGGATGTTCCACCGACGCCATAAATGGCTTAACGCGGCAATTGCCAAAAGGCGCCTTTCGAATTCGAGCTGATACGACTTCGCAGGAGAGCAGAGTGGTCAACATATACAACTACTCCACTCCTTATGGTTAAACTAGGGGTCAGTCATACCTAGCTTCCACTGTCATATGAACCGTAATTCGAAACATCTGTTAAAAAGACGATGCCTGATCACAATGCAAAGTGGATATTTATACGTTAATCGACAACGCATGCAAAGTTTTGAAAACAAGAATGATTGTTTCTTACAAGGCAGTTGAATTACCAATATTGTATATGTTATAATAATTGTATACATTTTGAAGGCGAAGTAAAATTTCCATCAGTGTATAAATAACTGAACTAATAAATATGTTACTAACTATAATTACAAGAATGATTTGTTTATGTATATATGGTGTAGAAGCCTCCTGAATTACAACAAGGAATGATGTTAAGAGAATAAATAATAAAAAATAGAAAAGATATCACATTCAGCTACAACGTATACCAAGTGGTAGATGATAGAATGGTTCAATGGGTTCAGTTTGTTCAAGTTCAATAGCTGTTAAAAGTGCACGCGTTATAACAGCTTCAGAGGCTGGTTCAGGTGTATTCGGTGAACCTAGTATATCTGCAAGTAAACGCCATACACGAAAACTAGTTGGATCCACATTTATAGCATCTCGTGCTACGCGTTCAGCTAAGGTTGTCTGATTATTTTTGTGTAGGAGATTTGACTGAAATATTCAAATGATAGATTATTATCATTGTTATAGAGTAAAGTATAAGCGAAATTCAATAAGACAAGAAAAATTCTGAAGTCCTACTACTTTTAAACAACAAGCACTCATCATACAATTATAAGACTTTAGGTCCATATAAGCACTTAGGCTCGTGCAACTATTACAAGTAACAAGTTCAGTTCACCGCGTTGAACTAAAGGATGTTATTTGCAATTGGTGAGAATAATTAGCATTACCTGCCAGAGAGACATATAAATCTAGTATGTTATATAAACAAAACACGAACATGTTAGCAACTACTTCATTTGCGGTTGATCATTAGAACTATACAATCCTCCACGCTTCTTGTTCCACTAAGTAAAAATATCTGTTCGAGTATTCGACAAGTCACAGAACGAGATACTATGGGTTAGTGGATACATACAATTTACTGCTTATAATTATATCAAGGTGATCATATAACTTCCTTGTTAGATTTTTGTAGTTCTTTTGTTTTTATTGGTAGAAGTCTTCATGTACTTGCGGTTGGTGGTGCATTTTTGATTGTAGATGTAACGCAGTGATTTGATGAGAAAAGCATTGTGATCGACTTATCTCTACACCTACATAGAGTAATCTTTATAGCTTTCTATCCATTGCACCCTTTTTTGTGACTGCATATGATTGTAATTCAGCTCATCTCAGTCACTTAATAAGCTATGACCTGATTAAAATGAGGCATCAGTTCATGAAATGAATTCGTTAGTATATACAAGTATTCTTGTTTTCAAGTTCCCACAATAGCGGACACGACGGTCATCCAAATCACAGGTCTGGTCTTTGTGTACAAAACAAATAGTTACAGTCTTTGTCTATACTTTTTCTTAGGTTGATCTCTGGATCATTTTCGTTTTCTTTGTAATTTATTAATAACTTTTCCAGCGATATCATACTATGTACTACTTATATATGTTCTTACAGCGTAACCAAGAAAAATTTCTTCAGATACGTGGAATAGAAGGTATTAGGAAGGTTACTATTACTGTTATTAATGTTGTTGCTTGTATTATCCCATCGTTGAGTGGACGGAGTTGACCGGTCTCTATTGGCGTATGGCCTCCTGTGCAGACCCTCGATATTGCGTGTTTCAATTGTAGATGAATGATGAACAATGCAGTCGAGAACGCGCGTTTCATCCTGTTTCGGACTCATCAGCTGGGTGTACTTGCCTCCCAGTGGGCGATGTTGGTTCCCATTAGGACTTAAACTTGGGACCGATCACTTCAAACGCCATTGTCTGCGTGGTTTAGTGAATAACGCTCTGACGTTCTTTCAGACCATATGTTTATATGAGTACGGCTTCAAAACACTTTGTAGGCATGGTAGAAACGAATAACAATACCCATTTTGTGTTGTGACTATGTTTTAGTGCGATAACACTTTTGTATGAGGATTGTGCGCTGCACAAAAGCCCGCGTTTTTTAGTAGCTATTTTGTTTTGGATTATTGTAGATTTACTGTTCGTCTGTTACCTTTGTTGGTTAGTTGTTGTTTTTACTAGTGGATTCTCAAGTTGGAAGTTGTCTACACAGCAGCAAATAAGAAATTAACGTAAACTGATGGACTATTTGTGAATTCCCGTCGTTCAGCACCCCACATGCAATTTTATTTACAGAAAACTGTTATATAAATCTCAACTTAATAGCTGGGAAATATGATACTTGCATAAGTGATCAGCCAAACACTTTTACTAACTGGAAATTTATCATATTGAAATCTTGGTGTTATGATATTAAGAAATAGGTTGCTTCCAAGCTAAATACACTTATTTAACATCAGCTTCTTTTCATATTCACACTTTGCATCTAGGTTATGATGCAGTGAAATAATAATACCTTGGTGGAATATATTTTCTTGTGGACATTTAACAGTCAGAGACAGATAGACCAATGTGGAACCAAGTACAAAAGTGCTTCGATTTACATTACCACACTTCATAGCAGCAGGCAAACAATACGGTGGATAGAAAACGAATGACTTTAAAGTAGGTGAAAGTGTATGGTAGGAGAAGGAATAAACAAATGAAGCTTAATGGAAATATTTAAAACTTCGATGACAAAAAGTGCATACATTCGTGACACGGAGGTCGATTCTGAGTCATACTACATCTAACAGTATCAAAGCAGCAATATAACAATGTGTCAACATAAACAAAATTTAATTTCCTAGTACAGATGTTAACGGAATATTACTTCCGTATACCTCCAACATATTTACACTCTCAAGAGAGCAAATGTCCCAAAAGATTTCCAATTAGAAACTGGCAAAATACAAGGGAATAAACTCACATACACACACTACTTACCAAAGAAATTAATGCTTCTAAATGATTGGGTTTTAGTGCAATAACACTTTCATATAAAGATCGTGCATTGCACAAAAGTCCACGTTTTTCCGCTAAACGTCCACGCTGTAAATTTGTCAATAGATATGAACACAAATGAAAAGTATAGCATGTATTTACCAAAAAATGTATATGGCATATGTGTCGACGATAATTAACTTAACTAGATTTACCGAAACTGAATACGATAGATCAAGCAATGAATTTATCACCGAGTCATTAGTTAGGTTCAAATATGCAGACTTTAACAATATGGGGCTTGGATTAACTACTTACTGGTTGCCACAATTTACATCAGTGCACAGAGTGGTAAAAAATATCAAGACACTTGTGCAGCTTTGCAAATGGAATCGTCATACAGAGAATTTTTCGTATCTCTCGCAATAGGGATTATTGATCTAAGTAAATTTGTAGGAAAGGTCGATCACTGGATTCTAACCCAGTGACTGAATGGTAACGCACTCACAGTAGAATCTGACAGTCCTGAACTCGGTCAATAAAAGGGAGGGAGTAGCGGAAGTCATAAATTGGGATGAAACATCTGTTCAGTGGTCTCAGATTTTCAATGGTTCGTCAATCGATAACAGTCTGTGATGAAAGCTACCTCGAAAATATTAACAGCATATTACGGATTTCCTCAAGATGTACAAATTGATTTTCCTCTCTCTAATTTTGAGTAATATATCCAAAAAATGTAGCAAACATAAGGCATGACAAAACTTTAACACAGAAGCAATAATGCATCTTTTGAAACTCTAGGAAATAAGCGAAAATCAAGCTGCCATTTACTGTACATATAGGAAAGAGTAAACTACCAGATATAGTGTTTGACTGTCAAGGCCACCAATTTTCATTACTTCTTGCAAAGCTTCTTTTGCTTCGAACAGTTGCTCATTGTCCAAATAAGATTCCGCTATGGGAGAGGAAAAAATAACAAGATGATCTCTTGAAGAGGGTGGTATCTCATTTTGCCGAACCAACAATCGACAGTCTTGCTGAAAGAGCATTTTCTAAATATCATAAGAATGATAATGTATTAACGGTATTGAAAAAATACAAGTTCAGACGTTGTGGTAAAGAATAAAGTTCATGTTGTCAGGGTGAACTCGAGTCTTTGGGAGTTACTGAAGTTCAAAATTAACAACTGAAAAACAGATTCAGTTGAAAAAGCGAATTACACAGGTGTTAAAAAGACTCTTGATTAAAAAAAAATTGATGTGTGAACTTATTTATAATCTTAAGGGTTTTATGTGTCTTATATGCGCATATGCTTTTACTCTTTTCGAGTTGATAAAGGGGAATTTAGAACTGTGTATTTTGTATAAAAAGGAAAAGATGGTTTTCGCTTTGAATATGCCATTTGGATATCCTCAAGATTATTACATCACTAACTGAAGATCGACTTTACATTGACCTAGCCAGTTAGGTCATTACTTACAAACAACTATAGCGATATAAGATAAGTCAGTACTTTGACTATCGTTCAGTGCTGTTAACGACAGATAGATGAACAAAAGAAACATATAGCATGAAACACCTGAGTAAAGTTCGACGTTGCTATACTTAATCTAGATAAATTGACAAGAGAAAACCAGTAGTTCAATTTGAAGGTTTTGTGGGGGTTTATTCATTAATTTCAGGTTGGTATTCATAATGGGCTGATATCAGTTGGAGAAACATAGGAAACCTGGGAGCACTGGACAGCTGTTTCGTCCTAGCACGGGACCCTTCAGCAGTGCGCGGCCATGACCCCGCCAGGGATCAGTAGTGATAAAACAAGAAGTAATGTCCGATAGAGAATGAAAGGTATGGGGTATTCAAAATCTGGCAGATAGCATACTTACTCACTTGAAGTTGTCAACAATCGATCCTAACTATCTTTGAAACTAAACCTGGAACACGACAATTTCTGACATAACTCAAAAACTTAGTCAGAGACTTAACGTATGCGTTTACTTACAGATAATTTTTTTCCAGTGTACTCCAAGTAACAATGTATTAATGATATTGGTAGTAATTCATATACAATACGCCTCTTAGCCTGTTAAAAGTTACAGAAATAACCAACTAGTTAGCGTCTTTTATTAAGTATCTTTGGCCTAACATTTTCCTTCATAAGGTGCCTTCGTAGTCCATGAAAGATAGTTTGGATCCATTGGTAATTCAATACTTGTTGGAGTAAATGCAATGACAATCTGATTTCTTCCGTTTTTTTACACATCCTTTTCTTGACTGTAGAACTCAAAGCTGCGCCGTAACTTTAAACTGGGATTAGTGTGACACTTAGACCGACAAACTAATACACATTTCAGTTTTCACGTTCAGGGGATTTCTTAATTTCACGGTAATATTACACACGGACTGAGTTCAGCTGGAGAACCACTGAAGACCTGAAGGCACTCGACAGTTGTTTTGTCCTGGTGTGAAGATCCTCAGCAGTGCGCACCCAAGATCCTGTCAGGGATCAAACCCAGGACCTTCGTGGCGAATACATTACCACTGGGCCATTTGTTGAAAATTGCAATTTCTGGTTGATTATTACACTGGACTGAACTAATAGATCTCTATTGGCATATAAGCTTGTATGCGGGTGTTCTGATATAGTCTCACGACTAGTGCGAGTCATATAACTAAGAAACAAGCCTTCTAGGCTAAAGGATCCTACAAAACTCACTAGACAGGATAGTTCAGTTTGCGGAAATGGAAATGCGCTCGGTAAATATCTGCACATCCGTGCAGCGGGCAGTGAACTACACTTATTGTGTGAGAGCTTATGGTACTACTTGTCTGCCCAAACCTCGGTAGGCGCAGCAGGGTTTGAACCAGTAACCCACAGTTCCACATTCAGTTAATCAAATTTCAATCTAGGATTATGAGGTCAAACAGATAAGTCAAAGTAGTTGGCGAAATCAAGAATGGGAAACCATAGTAAGGTAGATATGAAATCTACAGAAAGCTCAGCTATTGAGATGCATACAATTGCACATAACCACGCAATAGAATGGGACAAATTGACAGTCTTATAAACCTAACTTATCAGAATACAGCGAAAGATTGATCAATAAGGCTGTGCTTATCGAATCAACACTGAAAACATGCGGCAGGAATAACTCAACACGTGTTTTGAATATCGCGTAAATTCTACTACATTCACCACAAAATAGAGAGAAATTCATGTATAAAAACCAGGTGTAAAAGATGTGGAGTCACTTTTAAGATAACTATGAACAATAAATTGTGTTCTAAACGCCATTCAGTAATTAATATTGTCTCACTGTTTGGAATATTCAATTAACAAAACAACCTGGAATTATGTACACTGCTACACTAAACAAGTTCTGTTTTTATATTCAGAAAGAAACCGTTCTAAAGCTAAAACTCTTGTTAATGAAGGCTGTTTACTATGAAAAGGAAAAAGATTAGTGGTGGGATAATTCATCCACAACCTTAGCATATATGTAAATTAACAGAATTTGACTAATATTTGAATAATAATAATAACAATAATAATGATAACAGAAACTCAACCGAGGTAAACGGTGCAAGTTCTGCATGGAATTGTGAGTATCCTCCGCCTCGCTTGATCTGGCACAGATAAACAATGTAGGTGTTCAACCTGAGTGACATGTATGATTGTATATAAAGGGGGAGAGTATGAAGATGAATTACATCACAACTTTTTAAAAGACAATCTCTGATGAGATCGATACAATTAGATGGTTTTCCTTGAAAAATCAAAATGTTTAGACCAAATTGTATGTATGATCTGCTTAGTCCCGTAAACTGACATCAAGATTTCGAGGATAAAAGTTGTACAATACACATTACTAACTGATTTAGTTTCTTGAGGCACATCAATTCAGGAAATATGTTGATGAGTTCATGTACTTCACGACGCAGAATCCTAAGCGCCGCTCATATATATATATATATATATATATGATTAGGAAATATATGCTTTAAGACCAGTAGCTTTCGTCAACCTTCTCATTGTATACGAGAAAGACGCTATCCTCAACTGACAAATCTTAACAACACACACAAATAAACGGCCCTTACCTAAACCTTGGTAAATTTTAATCTGTATTTTCAGGGCAATCGATTGAGCTTGATTAGTTGAACGTGATTGTCTTGGGATTGGTGCAATACATGCACCAGTTTGACCAACAGAACCAATTGCTATATCAGACAGTGCAGATTGCAGGTGATTAAAACTATTTACACTACCACCACAATTAATATCCTCTTCACATAAATTTAGTAGTGAAAAGTTATCGTCAAATTCTAAAGATGGTGAGAATGCAGAAGATGACAGTGTTGAATCATCAGTGATGTTCAGGTTATTCGGATCATTATTTGATGATATGGCGGCCTTCCGAATTCGTTCGAACATCATCCTGAAATGTAATATATAATGTAAGATAAATTTTAAAAAAACTCTGTAAGAAGAAAACTTATACAGATACCAAAAGTTTATCCTTCTCACTTGTTTGGTTATCTTTTCACATTCCTGAGTAGGTAAATATCATCATGAATGATTCATAAATATGTCATGTATTGTAGCTTTTCAGATCAATTAGGATTTAAAGCATGACTGAATCATGTACAGACTTCCAAATGAAATCCTATTCCGTTTTCCGATGGATTTTGTAGTAGTGTCCTACTGTGAAGGGAATGTCAAACAATCATACTTTGCTAATCAATAATTTCTGCTCGAACTTAAATAACCTTGCAATGATTTACGGAGAGTTGTCATTTTTATTAAGCAATAGTTGACTACTCACTGTGATGACAAGATGATGATCAAATGGTTTGTCGATGGTGGTACTATACGGTGTGTTATGGCTGAGTAACACAATTCTTACGAGATAACATGAGTAACTGACTTATTTAAAGGTAAAACTATCCTCAAAACTTAAAATGAGAAATCATCAAGAAAGCAGACTTCTTACTGAAGATCGTATCTCATTTTACGTCACATCGCTTAATTGGATAAAACTCAATATGATAAAACAATTGATGTTCAGCTAGTGAAGAGTAAATCAAAGGTAAGTTAACAGACAATGACTCCTTACCATACAACACGGTTTTTTTATCACCTACATCAGCTCTTCAAAGACATAGAGTAGGATCTCTTGATATAACAAGAGAAACAAAGTAATGCTTGAAACACTCTCTACAGACTACAATTGTCTTCCTGGAAATTCTCTATATTTTTTTTTGCGTCTGTGGGGTGCAATCATTGTGTTGATGGAAAATGCCTTTTTTGGCGTTGTATGTTTCTCAAATGACAGAATAGTAGTATTTATGCTTCTCTTCTTGTCCACTACTTGAATATTTAATGAGTTATTTGAACTGTGTTTATATGAATATACATCTTGAAGACTTTTGGCTGCAGCTACAGCCTTAAATGACTCTCATGAGCTGTGTTCTTGAGGAGGTATAAACGTATTTAGAGAATTTCTAACGTTTGAACCAAGTGTTGATGCACAGCAGTAAAAGTTTGTGCATACTAACGTTTTCTTCAGTGAACATCTTCATAAGTGAATCAGATTCGTCAATGGACGCAATATTATGGATTAATTTTACTGTGTTTTGACTTCAAACCCCTTCACTGCTAAATTTGTTGACCAATTCATTGACCAAGTATTTATTTTGACCTTCACAGGATGACCGGTTCATAATTTGTGGATTAGCCTTAAAATGCGTATGGGTGATAGAACTTTGTGACAGAAATTTAATCACCTCCAACTGGAATTTCGTAGTCTATTGAGTAAGCGACTTCAATTCACTAGATAGCATTTTGAGATTCATTTGTTCTCCCCGTCACCATTTTTCAGAAGTAATATATAATTGATTGATTCAGATGATTAAAACCAGATGTTCACTGTCACCATTCCTATTTGCTTTTTGTACAAATGCATTGAGAGATGTAACTCTGTTTACTGTATGCCTTTTGAGGATTGATCCACTACTCAGAGACCATTTAATCGAATTAGAGTACACACACAATGTAGCCCTGTAACACGAGAACAATGGCATTTTATTTTGAATTAACTGGATCGGGCTATTACCTTTTATTCATATATAATTGCCGAAGGCTACTTCTTCTTATGGCTATATTTTATTAACAGCACCATTTTGAAGTGAACATAAACGTGTATCAAACTTCCGAGGATTTTTATGCATCACTATGCTATGGTATACACATTCCCGTTTTTCGATTAAAGACACGCATACAAAAAGAAAGTGTAGTGATGCCACAGATATACCAAAACCTCGGATTTTTACGTTTAATACATAAATACTTACTTGGGATTTGTACGCAGTGCGAATGTATTTCGCCAAACTGTCAACAAATGACGATAAATTTTCAAACCAGCTTTTGGATTAATTCTAACCTCTTCTACTTTAGCTAACAAAAATAATAAATTGAAATCATTCGGTCTATCGCTTAAACCAACATATAATGCTTTTGACGCTTGATCCATACGTTTCCCACCAGCTGTATGTAATAAGGCTAATAGGTATAATGTGTTGGAATGTATTGGCATTAATTGTAAACTCTGCTGGCAAACGGACAGAGCTTCGTCAAGATGACGTTGTGTAGCCAGTTCAACAGCTAAGTGATACCAGGCTAGATAATCATCAGGATCCAGTTGAATAGCGCTTTAGTAGGAGAGAAAAATGACGATAAATAAACTTACAAATACAGTGTTAATATATGTAGGACAGAACAGTTTGAATTTGAGTCTATATATGTTTCATCGTACTATAGATAACCATAAATTACTCTGCTTTGTGTACAGAGCAACAAGCCTAGCATAGCTTCCAAAATCCTACAGCGTATATATATATATGTATGTATCGAAAAACCACATATAATGTAGCCAATGGTCTCATAGAGAATACTATATTGCGCGAATTTGTGCTGTAAGAAAAAAACTAGTAAAATTAATAGCGTTCGCTTTCAAAAATGAAAAACTGCTGTAGTATTTGGGCCATACAGCTATGAGAAATATACGTGTTAAAAAGGTAACTAGTCAAAATATTGCATACTAATAACTACTAGACGAAAGCGTTTTCATATTCCATAGAGGACTTCATCATTGAACCTATTTTCGCAGTATCTTGAGATTGGTACTCCACATTTTCTCAGAGTTTTTGATAAATCTTTTTGTATGAAAGTTGAGATAAAGCCAAGTGAATTTCCCTCGTAATTTTTTTAGTGGAAGAATAATCATGAAAAAAGTATAACTCAAGAAAAATAAGAAACTGGTGGAAATCTTAAAAAAATAAAACCTTAGGAATAGAGTGAATTTACAATTCTAATAAATTCCGTACAAAATACGGTACGACGTACTAGCTCAGATGACAAGTATAAACAGATAGATAAGCAAAATCAACGTAGAACCTCGAAAATTAGTGCATCGGTTCAAATTACCAGAGATGATATTTGTGCTTAAAAGTTTTCATAACATCCCTTTTTATGTGGAAATTTTCCTAATTGTTTGAAAACGAGTGAATGACATTTCAGTCTAACCTTTCACTGCTGAAAATTACAACAAAAGCCCAGTGATTATCAGCTCAGCATAACTCAGGATCTGAAAATATTAGTTTCACTATATCAACTAAGATGTCCTGTAGTAGGGGGCTACTTCAAGTTAGTTGACCAGGAAAGCCGGTTATTGTATGCAGAACCTGAGTCTGGTAACAGCTTATTATCCGAAATTGGCACAAACAATAGAATTCTTTTGAAATGGATGTAGTTATCCCATTAGTTCAGTTTTCTTGTCAATGATACTTTTGAGGCAATTATTTTATGACAATTGGCTTCTTCTAAAAACTTCTTTTGCCTTCCTCTTTTGGTTAGTTTTTGTTGATTACCTCTCGCTGCTTTGGTATGAGTTGTAGCAACTTGGACGGATACATAAACATCTTAGATATAGCATTGTTGACACCTACCTACCGGTATGGACAAAAATGATCCTGCTAACCAAGACGATGATAAGGTGCGATCTGTTCAAAGCTCTGGAATTATGATTCAGAACGTATGTCTAGTTCCACTACTGAGAATCAAATGACTGTGTATGTAAAAAGTGGAAACTATATAAAAGTGATTCAACGTTGCTGATGGACATTTTAACTCAATGATAGAATCAGAAGTGTATTCCAATCAGAACTTGTAACCAAGAGAGTGTGGATGTAATACAAACCATAAGCAACACATGGTACCTTCTATCAAAAAACTTCGACTGACGGTTACTACCTTGACGTGGTGGTCCATCTACTTACCGCAATGACCCCTGAAAGGCTGTGCGGCCGGCTTCAAACAGATGTTCCTAATGCTATATGGTCAAGTAGAACTAATCCAATCCCCCTTTCAGGGGCCTCAAGAAGAAGTAGCCTCCCACGGTGTGGGGAGCCTGGAAGTTTTAACCATCCTCATATCTCTGTCGGTGCTTAAGCTCTCTTCGACTATTATCAACCTTCAATATATTTGCCTCCCAGTCATTTATTACAACTATCGGTACATATTCTTACGTCCATCTTTTAATTTTTCCAACTCTGTAAACCATTAATAACGATCCAACTTCGTGGAACAGCATCCCTATTCTCCCGAAACCATGCTTACCCAACCATAGCAGTCTGCGTGATAGGAAGTGGCCTAAATCAGCCGCTAAGGTAGAAGTTTCGGATTTCAATCTTTTTTCACGTTACCATGTGTGCAGGGAAAGCCTTACTGGACGATTTTGTCCTACAGCTGACCGATTGATACAAGTATCTAACTTCCAACCTAGTGACTTTATATTCTGAGGAATACTGTATATAAATGTTTTTTGTCGAATAAAAGTGTCTTCCTCAGTCACAGATTGGTCTTTGTTTTTCGATTTTCGCAGCTCACTGAAGTATAAGATTCTGACAGAAAATAGTTATTCGTATCCAGTCCAGTCGATAAGCACTTACGCCTAGACAAGATGTACAAAAAACTGTTTCGGATCGCCGAGATAAACTGCAAGGCATGCATAACTGTAGGCTGAATAAGTAGTTTGAAAGCATGAAATAGCACTTACTTTCGGTATTCATTGACAGCACGACCTCGTAATTCACCTTTCTTATCCACAACACAACATGATCTCGCTAGTAAGGACCAACCCCAACCGACTAGTAGGTGAGCTCGAGCCAAGAAAGCCACTTCAGACTGTGAAGCCACCTGAAATATACACACTATATACTTTTATGTGGATATTGAAGGATGCAATATAAACAACACGTATGACTGTGAAGACGTTTATATCACTATCCATGAAGAATAGCAACACGCTACCACAACACTAGTATAGTTTCCAATTTCACAGAGAACAATAATATTCTCTGAAAATTAGACACACTCTGCTTGGTAAATCCAATACAAAACGAAAATTTTCCCTTCTCCCAAGGACTCGGAATATATGGATAAATTTAGTTCAAGGATATCAACAGTTGCAGTATGCCGTCTTATCATTAACTATCAATGATCTGCCTAGTCTATAGGTCGTTTGTTTACATCTTTTCATGACTTCAATCATTAATTCTGTGAAAGCGTGTGCAGTCTGCCTCTGATTACTTTAAACACAAGTATAAAATAAAGACGAGAATTATATTACCTCAATAGCTTGAGAAGCTAATTCCATTCCTTCTTCAATTAAATTTAAATGGCCAAGACAAAGTGAACTAGCGAGTAGGTAAACTGATATTTTCGAAGGATCAATTCTCAAACATTCACGTAATACCAAATAGCCACGATAGTGCTATCATATTTAACAAGAAAAAACACAAGGGAAACAACCATGAGATGAAATGTCATGATTAAAAAATGAGAAGACTATTTTATGTGTAACATATTCACTATTATTCTTAAATATTCTCGTAAACTGACTGAAGTAAAACACTTGGACTACTAGAATTGCCACCGAGGTTAAATAGTAATGTCCTTGGTACGAGACCGAATGGTTCTAAGCTTCATCCTTAGCGGAGTCACGGCTGTGCAGTCATGTGGAGTACCAACCCAATACACAGCAGCCGTTCTTAGAGTTACAGTGATTTTTCAGCTGATGTCAATCCGTAATGAAAATCATCTCAAAATATCCCCAATAAAGTTAATACAGATGAAACATGCGTTAGAAAAGTATCAGAATACTGAAGACCTGTTTAATTTAGTCCCGTAGTTCTAACCGTAAGCAATGCAGTATACCAACTCCGTACAGCTTTATGTACTATGCTTTGAGTCACAAAAATAATAATTTTTCGATGCTTAAAATATTATTTTGCAGTTGCCTAGGTCTGAGTAGGTTTAATAAGCTTGGATAAGTGACTATGACAGATAGAAATCAACGTAGGAACTTGCACAAATTACTTTAGAGATGATGGAGAATATTTGTAGCTCAGGTGGATAATTTTGATGGAGTTGCATTTTCTGAGCACAGAGAACTCAACTCCATTAAAACGCATTACTTTAAGTTGTCCTACTTCATAACAGCACACAGTGAGGAAGTGGGCAGAAAAAGCAAGATACTGGTCTAAAATGTTGTATGACAGCAGAAATAATAAATGATCAAAGCCTGAATGTACGTTGTTTTATTTATTCGATGAGTACAAAGACAGACACTATTATTCATTTATTGTCCACGATCAAACCAGAGAAAAAGAATGAATGAATAAACAAATGAATATAAACCAGTTAGATGATAACGAGTGATTACATCACCATTATGGTAGATTGAGCAATTTCACCAATAGTCTTTAAGCAATGATTTCAAATACTTTCATGACCCTAACCATGTTGACATCGAGTCAAAATGCACTCAGCAACCTTGTGTACATTTAGGCAGTAGACAGTAAGCCAGACGACCTATTGTTTGAGGGCTAGTGATACTACTTGGTTTCTCAAAACTCGGTAGGTGGAACAGCGTTCGAACCTGTGACTTATTGGTTGAAAGTCATCTCCTTAAACCAATAAGCCACAGCTCCCCCTACCCATGTAGCCTATACTTACCTATAAAAATAAAAGTAATTGCTCAATTACTTCCTCCTGCTTTATGACAGAAAGAAAAAGCAATGGAACTGTACAAACTACGTCTCAAATTGTGAAATGACGTTAACATAACTATGGACAATAAATTGTTTCTGAAATGTCATCCAGTAAACAATACTATTTCACTGTTTAAGGCATCTAAATAAATAAAAATGGAATTACACTTTATCACAGTGCTCAAGTTTGCTCCCGTAGTCATATTCACAGTCAATGTGTTTACTGTTTTTACACTGAGATGAGTATCCTGGTTAACATTTCTAGACTGTAAAAAATAATCGGTTGGGAAGTTATTCATTTCATTCAAAAATACACAGCACTTTCACAAAATATCAGAAAATCATAAATTACAGAAGTGAGTCATCTATCTATCCTACTATACAACTTTTGATCATCGTCACATTTCTGCCCTTAGCCAGAAAAGATTACACAATAATAGCGATAAATAGTGTTTAGAAAACTCCTCAAGCAATCCAGGATACACAGTCAAACACTTGAGATATAAAAAGGTACCAGTGACCAATATTACCTAAGGAGAAGTACAACTGGAAACTGTAGAGTAGTTCGACTCTGGTAACCAAAACGCTTAGTGTCTAGAATATATATTACTATACAACCATAACACTTACGAAACCATATTTCCTAATGTCCCGTACACTAAGTAAGAAGCAATAAGTAATGGTCTGCCATACAACTTACAGTAGCTTATTAAATTAGACAATCAACTTTCAACCCGAAGGTAGCAAGTTTCAATACCCCTGACATTATTTCCCTCACATAGTAAGTATAACTTATAACCACATAAAATAGCCTGCAGTAAGTTCCTGAGGTGTAGCAATTCTTTTCTGCTAAGATTTCCTTGTGAACACATATATTGCAAAAACACCACATTATCAGTTTATTAATTCATTCCATATGGTGTATACGACCAACTGATGTAGGCATGTATCGATCACATTGACCAACTAAGTGAGAACCTGCAAATCAATGTTTTCGAAATGGTACATGATCAAGAAAATACGGATAGTGGACAGATATGACTAGGGCTTTAAAGCGGTTTCGTAAATAGTGGTACAGATTTCGGTGATCATAATACCATAAACAAAACATCCAAAGTTATCTCTTTATTGACCATCACAACACTAAACATCATTAGTAATTTACCGACTTGATAATTGTTTTGAAGTTGGATATTAGGAGCTAATCGACAAGAAGCTCTTTTTGACCCAGCCTTCATACATCTGCGAACCTAAGGAAATTTATATTCCCTTGAGGATTCGAACCTATTTCTCTACATACAGAGACTTTATCACCAAGAGTCAAAGTTAATACAAAACACAGTTCGGCAAAGAAAATCTAAATTTGATCATATTTTCCAAAGCTGTACAACTATACACACAATCAAAATAATGCCTAAAGATAGTAAAAATCGGTACACTACCGACATTAGTGTAAATTTCTAAGATGACAGAATGTATGCATCTACGTCACATCCATTGATTTTGAGGGACATCAGTCTTTGTTGAATGGCTTGCATCCCTTCGAGGATCCTAGTCAGACAGCACACATCTTCTTACACATCTCAAACTACCACCTAGAGACTTTATAGACTGGTGTCATATCTTGGTCCATATATCCTTAGACTTTTTCTAACTCAATTCTACTTCGGTTAACACCGTGCCTCCAGGTAGCTAGAAGCTTATCTTGTGCGACATATATCCAAGCAACCTATATCGATGCGATTTCATAACGTCATCGACTGATTTGTTTTCCTTGCTTAGTAATCTATGACTGACCCAAACATTGTTCACATGATGATTCCACCAAATGTCAGCAATGCTACGGTGACATTTATGTTTGAAAACCTATCACCTCTCTATATCTTCTACTTTTACAAGCCATTTCCTACCCTAAAGATTACAACAAGCCCATAGAAACTTAACACTTACACCTTTCAATGAGCGACTGCACAAAAAATAAGATAGTAGGTGCAATACCTTAAATTGTCAGACTGCAACAGTGTACAAAGAAGAAACCAGGAACGAAAATTGTTGGAAAGAAAACGAATGTAACTGCAGAAACTCCTCCAAGCTCATACGAGGCAGCAGCTTAACTTCCGTTGAGAGTAGAAGTGTTTCTTTGTGATTACAAACTGTAATGAGAAGTACAAACGAAAGGTAAGGTCATAAAATCTGAGAAGGCTTCAGGCGTTTGACCACTGTTGCCTTCGTAGTATAGGCCCCATACCGTGGTGTCACCACATGGGTAACGCAGAAGTGAGGTGTAGAGTTTAAGGGAGTAGAGGTAAGTCAATCGACACGGTTGAAAACCTTTATTGACTGAGATGGCTGGCCGGGATATGTGTTATGTATGCCAAGCAACCGTCTGCCTCGTAGCACAATGTTGACCAAAGTAGGTTCAGGTTGGAAAAAGGCTCGGGGTACCCAGACTAAAACATGGCACCAATGTATGAAATGTTTAACTGTTGGTTTGAGCCATGTGGGGCTATGCAGATTAGCCGGTTGGGGTCCGCAGGAGAAGAGGAACCAGTGGTTGGAGACTCTAGGTGATATGGCTGAGAACCGATGTCAGTGGCGTAGATGCATACACCTATTATCCACACAACCACTATACTTAGTCTCATTATCTTACCATTCTTTCTCCTTTTCTTTTATTACTTTCTACTTTGACGGACTTTTCTTTCCTTCTTCATATTCCAATTTACTACCTTGTTACTTGATGTGCTGATATGAGGTGTGGCAACTTGGATCGTTACGCAGTAATGCCTGGTCCTATGTTGATCTTGACGATGATGAAGGTTATAAGTCGATGTGGTACCATTATGCATAACAGAGCAGTTAAGTAAAGCAAGTGAATACAGCACCAAAATTACATGGAATGAAGTTGCAGATTTTTCTGTAGTAACCCCATAAACTTAAGAAAGATATCCACTACACTCAGGGATACTGATGAGAATCAACATAAGTAGATAGGTAACTGTAAGTGAATACAATGTCCCACTGAATATCCTCAATTTGAAATGATAGCACTGTATAAAAGTAAATCAGAACTAGTCATAGTAAAGCTCTGTACAACCAGATAAAAGTCAAAATGATACCGAAAGTACTACAAACCACTGTAGCTTTTGTTACACAGAGAGTCATCTCTTTTTCCAAACGTATGTCAGCAATCTCACTACGTAAAAAGAAAAAGACGATCCCAACTACTCCTAAAGCGCCATCACAAGGGGTCTGCAGGCTGCTGGATAGTAGATGTGTTTCTGTTAGTAGGTATCCGTGATAGTAATAAGGATAACAGTAATAAAGTAAACAATACCCAAATAGGTACTGTTCAAAAGAAAACACTAAAGATATGAAATAGTTATGGATGGTGATAATTATAAGAAATATCTGATTAACACACAACAAGACGACCTGGTTTTGAAAAACAAAAGAATAGAAATACATTATATATATATATATATATATATGTTTACCTGTTTAGAACTGATCAACGATAAGGCGAATTGATACCAGATATGAAATCGACGGTAAGAAAATTTCAATGCTTTTTCAAGGCACTATAAGCGTAATTATGATTTTTTGTAAAAGTCAAAACAAAAGCGAAGATTATTCATGAACTTTATGAACAAACAGAATTTTTAATATGTTACAATACTCAGGTATTTTATTCTGTAGCTACGAATGCAAAATAAAATGTAAAGTGATAATCTCCAGAATATATAGGAAATTATGCTATACAATGTAATGTATGACATAACTATCATCCACTGTGAGCAAGTATATTCATCAGTTAGTGAACCAAACCTATTGTATAGGTGGTGCTTATGGTGCCAACAGACTATTCAAACCTCAGTAAGTCGAATTGGGTTTGAAGCTGCGACTCAATATTTGAAAGTTAAACGTCTAGACCAATGCGCCATATTTGCATAATTATACAAAGTTAAGTATGGGAAATAATTACAAGACGGTTAACTAAACATAAAAAGTAGTCCCCCTGATACCTTCTCAGTTTCTAGGATAACCATCTAACTTATATATGCAAATAACTGTATATTAGAAACAGTGATATTTTATCACCAAGATCCGTTTAAATCAAATAATTAGAGAATTTCATTTAAGAAAGATGTAACAACGCGAAGTACGCAGAATTCAGTCATGAAGTAAGTATGTAAATGACAACAGGCTTTGTGTACAATCAAACATTTCGGGAGTTTTATTGAAGATATGTGATTATAGTGTTGAAAATTTAAAATCAAAGAGAGAAGACGTAAAACTTAGCAAACAAGTGCATCGGTTCAAGTTGACACACTTCGCAGTAGTACACAAATAATCGACAGAAAAAAAGTGACATCAAAGTAGATAAAGTTGTTTCAGAGAATAAGCAATCTTAAGATAAAGATCAGTGCAAATACTCAAGCTTTAGGAGATGTCAAACAGTGAAAACATCTGCGCCATTGTGACAGATTTTCAGTCATACCACCGACAGTCCTCAACAACTGATTTCTATCGACTCGGAAACCCCAGCCAGGCAGTCCACATCTCCTGACAAAACTCAAGCCAACAATCAGGGACTTCATCGACTGGTGACACGTCATGGTCTGGTCACCCTGAACTGTCTTTCAACTTAATCCAGCTTCCCGTAATATGGCATATCGAGGTAGGCAGTGGCTCGGCATGCATAACACGTGTCCCAGCCATCTCAATCGACCAAGGTTCACAACCTCATCAATCGACTTGCCTGTCTTGCCTAGTACCCTCCGCCTGACGTCAACATTGCTTATGCGGAAATTCCACCAAATGTAAGCAATGCTACAAGAGTAATACCTAATTTTTTTATATTTTTACTTAGTTTCGTCGTATATAAACTTAACGATAAGCTTATACCTATGCCCCAACGTAACTACGAAGCACGAACTGATCAAGAGTTTTGGTCATTTAACTTGCCGAAGAAGTTACAATAACCCAGGAGGTCGGCGGTTGTTAAAATCTCGATATGAATATAAAGTGGTCGTTTGACTGTTGCGAACATATGCTGTATGTTTCTCAGGAGCGACATAAAAATGCCTATTAAACAGTAGATTCTTTGAGCAACCGAGCATTTGGTCTCACTAAACGGATGTGAAGGGGAATATGTTTACCGAAGGTAAAAGATATCCAGAGGTTACACATACTTGATTACTGTTATCCTTGTACATTATTTATGATAAATGGCATCATCGAATGGAGGATGGTAAAGTTGAGCACAAAAGACTAATTAAGGGGAACAAATCGATTGGTAAGACTAAACTTTATTCGATATAACAGGGTAGGGCCTGTGTGATGCATACCTAGGCACCACCTTTCTCGATTGCGATGTAGGCCGGCTAAATCTTTACAACGGCCAAAACAAGACGTTACCGATTGGATCATTTAAGTTTTTTTCATTGTTGGTTATAAAAAGAAAATTATGTACCACGTGGAATAAATAAAGGCTTTTAAGACAAATTTATATAGTACACTAAAATCCCGATTAATACACTTTAGGTGTTTTCATAATTGTCCCTTCTTTCAATTTCCCATCTCTGAGTTGATGTACAGTTTGATATCTTGGACTACTAGGTGATGGCATCAGGCTATGAGTATTTCCTAACCGATTTAATGATTGATTCAAACTTTGCTATTACTAAACTTGTCATGAAAAAGGGTGAGTCACTGACTACCTTTTAAAAAACAAATGGACGATAACTGAATACAACTCACTTTAGAAAGAAATTTGAAGTGTTTAACTTTGGTAAGGAGGATAGCGAGTAAGTCGTAGACGGCAGCTGCATTGTTAAATGATCGAACAATCTGAGCTTCAGATAACTCTGATGGTCGATTCAGTATAACATCCTGACTAGCCTACATTAGTCGCACACAAACAAAAAGTTGAAAATTTGGGTATTTGATTTACGTAAAAATATATGCATAGAGATACATATTAAAAGAGTAGATTTCACTTCGATGAAACAATTTCTACCGTGGCTTGTTAAATTGCATCCAATGAATCATTTTGTCTACATTGTGACGAGTAAGAGATACACCGAGTGATCATATATATGAGAAAACGTAAACGAAAAAGAATAACAGAGCGGTTAACAAAGCTGTCTCATAAGATACATGTCAACTAGTCTTCATTATTTTCGTTCTACTTTTCGATATTAGACAAACAGTAAAACTGCAGCATGATCACCATCTCTTTCGATTAAAATTAGTTTAATTAGGAAGCTGGAATAGATCCAGTAAACCAGTTGCTGGCTAGATCTCAACTAGGATGCAAAAGATCTATTCGGCATCTGCCAGTTCAAATTATATTCGGGATCGATGAGATATTTGAATGAAAATCAGAAGATGGGTACACCATACATGTCTTCCTGTTTTTGCTTTAGAGCTATGAGACATGACTGTTGAAAGTAGAAGATACGAGGATTTTGTGTTCTCTACGCTGGATAGCTTAACTGCGAAAATTTAATTATACTTTTCGACACAATCACCAGCAAAAATCGTAAAATGGAGTCAAACATTCCTGTTATTGATACAACTTAGTAGGTGCAGATGAGTTTTGTAATAGTTTGGTATGTGAAAAGCTACAGTGCCAGGTGATGGTTATCCACACAGAAGTAGCTAAAGTTCATTTTTATTTATGACTCAACTACGTGAATGTGAAATGCTAAAACTGGTTAGTCACAACTTTAGTTTACTTATTACTAGTTACTTGCCAATAATAAGCGAGAATAAAGCGAAGGAAAAAAGTAAATACTATGGAGGTTTTTCATCAACACAAACTTACTATATGCTCAGAAATCATCAATGAAAGGACAGCCTCTTCTATTCGATTTTCTGGAATATATCGGTTCGTAGGATAACGGTATGGGACTAACTGGTAATCCTAATAGCAATTAAAAATAATCACGAACAAGATAAATCAGTATGAAAGAAGCATAGAATAACACAAAATATTAAATGATACACGCATAACAAGCAAGAAAAATTTCAGTTACTGTTTTTACTCCAATCAACGAATCTTCAGCAGCAAGTCACTGATCCTTGAGTCTGGTGGCAAACACCATTAAATCAGAAATTTGGAATCCAATGGTCTACATCGACAAACTTTAGCTGATCCAAATCACAAAGTGATTATTATCCAATATTATACACAGTTACTAATATTCACTCATGACTTGAATGACCATCTTGGAGGTCATCGTTTTTATTAAGATGCTGAAAAATTCGTTTCAGATTCAATGAAGCACTGATACTAAACTGTTATTCACTCTAGTGACCTATGTAAACTCCATCACAAAACTAACATGACCCAAATAACCATTAAAGACCAGAGACACTTGTTTGTTTCTAATTAGTCACACTTTAGAGCATGAACAATGATGAGTACTAAATAAATTCACATGAAGCCCAGGTGATTCGATGCACACTAATGACAAATTTATTACTTCACGTTGATGCTTTGTATGTGAAGTACTACGAGAAGAATTATCAACGATTACCTTTTAAGATTTTTCTCAGGTTTACGTGTCTGATGCATCTTGAAACGAAATAAGAACACTCCTGATAGCAAATAAGGAGTAATACGTGGGGTAAAACTAATTGGTATAGCCAGTTGTCGGTGTAAATTAAGCTAAGCATCCACTTATGCGGCGTGTTCGACAACACAAGCAAAAGATAAATTTCAGAAAGTTCGTACAGTTTTAATCTTGTTAATTATTTACTGCCTAAAAGTGAGTCATATAGATCTGTGAATACCAGTTAAATTCATCTTTAATGGTTTATGGGATTATCGATAAAAGAAAGACGAAGTAACTACTTGAACACAGGAAATATCAACCATAGTTATAATTCTATTACAACAATTGGATTGCAACACAGATACGTATAACCCTACTGTTTTGTGAATTAAACAGGTGTTGATCTGATATGCATTACACTGAACACTATGGGATTCAGTATCAGAATCACTAGAGTATATACACCGATTATTGTTGTTGTCAGATGATGCACTATAAGTTTTTCACAGTAATCCCTAAAAATTCACCTGACCAAAAGATTAGTTTTCCATATGAATATCAGTAACTGGAATACTGCTGTTGGATACTTAAGTACTGGAACTGTAAAAAAGTTTAATGCATAAATGGCTTTTCGTACTGAAGTATTGTCAACAATAATACAACTCAGAAGAAATAAACAGTTTTACGCACTAGGCTGTGAAGCTACAGTTTCGTGTCAAAACCGACCATACTATTTAAATATAGGAAGAAGATCAGTCGGAGTAAAGTTTCCACTATTAATTCAATAAACAACAGCCATGTGCACAGATTATCAGGCTACATAGTTTAAGTGAACTTAGCAGAGAATAAAATACGATAGTGGAAAATTAAAATCAATCAACAAATTGAGGTTAAGATGATATAGCTACCAAAATAAATGATACTTTTGACGAAGAGCTTCAAATTATCCACAATCTACTCAGTAGTAATGGATATCCAGAAACGTTCCTGGCTAAAAATATGAACACATCCAATATGAAACCCAGAATGCCTACAGTCTCCAAGAAACCATTATTCCTAAGACTACAATTTCGAGATGACATCATCAGCGAAATTGTGACACAACGCTTAAGAAATGCCATAAGAAGATCACTTAATGCCGCCAAGTTATGTTGTGTTTTCTACAGCCGGTCGATGATGACCACACGAACTAAAGACAGACTCCCTGACTTCTCCTCTTCTGTGTGCATTTACCGCTTCAACTGCTCTTGTGGAGCTAGTTACATTGGACGTACAGTTAGGCAAGTCCGTCGTCGAATCGCCGAGCATCATCCTTCATGGCTAAGTAAGGGGGAAACCAGATTGACACGAAGCTCAATACTCTCTCATCTGACTGACACCGGCCACCGAGTTAACATTTATAATGCCTTTAAAGTTATCTATCACATTCCTTCTCACCTCACCCATCCTCTACGAGTTCGTCTTTTACATACAGCAGAAGCCATAGGAATCCACCTACACAAGCCAAGTCTGTGTGTTCAGAAGAGATCCGTACAGTCTCTTTCTTTGCCTTGGCCATCTGTATAGCTCATTTATTACAACAAGACTTCATTTCATCCATCACACAATTCACTATAACTAATATTTCAATAGCTCCATTATTATTATTATTATTATTATTATTATTATTATTATTATTATTATTATTATTATTACAGACTTAACCATCTTTCTCTCCCCCTACTGTCTCTAATTACCGTCAACAATTTACCATTTTACGTAACAGTTCATTTTCGCTCTTTAGTTATCACTATACAAAATATCAATTATGTAAGAACCTGTTCACAAAATCTTTCTACGATAATTAATCTTTGCTTTAGTTAACTGTCTTAATTACCTGATCAATTATAACCTTCTTGATACTTTGAGACTGATAACCTTTCATTGAACAACTCTTACCACCAGATTGGTATGTAATTTTACGTTTGAAAATGCTATATTAGTGTAGAGCCATTGATGAGGAACTAATTGAAAAGAAATATTTCTTCGCTTACATTGTTCGTTTTAATAATTGTCTAAATGGGAATTTTTGCATTACTAAAAGGGTTACAATGGTTTCGAATCGTCTCAAAAACTAGTGTACTAGTTTAATTATCTTTAAAATCAAAATATGAATGCCCACAGCTTTGAGGTGATTGCATCAAAAAGATAGATTGAGTTTGATCGTTTGTTGAGTGACAGCAGTTATCAGATTGACTTAAACAGTTTTACAGTGTGAAACAGATGTCTACCATTTCTAGATGTTCTGTTATCAAGACGAATAGATGGCGGTGTCAGACGCAGTATTTATCGCAATAAATCGTGGTTTGATTACTATATACATTGCCGATCATTTGTCCCTCTTACATACAAAAGGAATTTAGTCCGTACACTGATGTTTTGAGCCAGTAAGATTTACACAGCTGATACTTTGAATGATGAATTAATTATAATGGAAAACTCCTGATACGAGAACAGCTATCCTGAAAAGTTTGTAAAGACTACAATAATGAAAACAGCCGGAGAAAAGCGCTTTCGAATGATGCCGAAGAAACGGTTGTATCTAACTTTAGCCTTCAAAGGAGATGCAGTTGCAGAAACACTGTGACTGAAACTTAGAAATCTAGTACACAAAACCTTCTTTGCCGCCACACCATGTTTGAAATCTACTAGTTGCTGTATGATGCCGTTGCAATTGAAGGATAGGCTTCCGAATCTGGCCACATCTACGTGCATTTGTAAATTTAACTGCCCCTATGGAGATAGTTACATAAGCAGAATGATTCGGCAAGCCAAACATCGCTTCAGTGGACACTGTCCAGGGTGGTTAGGTGTAGGGACAGTGAAATCCATCAAAAGTTCAAGACTTGTCCATTTAGCAGATGTTGAGCATACGATTGGCAAAACCTCAGCATTCACTACTATTTACTGAGTCCCATTACAGTACTCTAAGTTTGTGCGCCTCCGATTGCTAAGCATAGTAGAAGCCGTAGCAATTAAATTTTCCAAACCTAATTTATGTATTCAGATGTTTGTTAGTTCCCTTTCCCTCCCATGGCCTTCAACTTCAACCCAGATACAATCACAATAAATCCCTTCCCGGTTATCCCCATAAATGTAAATATTATCTCAGTTTGTACTCTTAAATTATCATTTTATTCTTCGCCCTTAGTTTCATAATTGATTAAGAATCTTAACATTTTATTATCTAATCGCTATGCGACGATGATTTTATTTCCTTCTATCCCTGCACCCACACAATTCACTCACATACTTGCAACGATTGACTACTGAGTATATATAAACTTCCCGAGATTTTATTTTGTTATTATCACTTTTACTGTCATCTTTTAATTCATATACCCAAATTAATTTAACCATGTTGGTATCAAATGATTATGCTGGAAAATTTGTAAATTTAAATTTAAAGCCTGACGAGAATTTATCAAAAATACATATTCGCTTCAAACTCTCTCTTCGAATTACCATAATGGGAATATATAAATTAGTTTTACTATAGAACTACATATTCAGAACGTATATACAAAACAGCTTGGACATAATTTAGAATACATCACCGGTGAATTCAAAAGACGCATGAATTTAACTGAGCTGATGAACATTACCATACGAGCCAACTAAGAAAGATCCAAACAGCTAGTTTTTTTAAGCATATGTCAAACAATAGATGTTCGTTGGTTGAACGCTTTCTGCCGATTGCTCCAACCAACTAAAATCCATCGAAGTGCATCGCGATGATAAGCCTTCTAGCTTGGCGGCCACATTGTAAAATGATCCATATAATTAGGTCAGCACCAGACAACATGAGACTGGTTGCTTCCTAGTGATTAATCAATGTACGTGTCAAACAACTTGGCTTAGTAACCTGAATTGAAAAAAACTACGAAGTCACTGGTAATATTGTAAAATCTGTACATGGAACCAATATTCAAGCACAGGATGGGGTTTGACCAAACAATATTTACAACGGGAAACCAAAAATACTACACAAATAAATGTCAAACGGTTTGACAGACAGGTGAATCAGTTTAAAGTCCTGCATAGATGCACATTATTTCAAACTGCCGCACTTCACAACAACACAAGGAGGAAATGAAATAATGATGCCGAAGTAATCAAAAATGTGTGTAAGCGAGAATAAGCACATGAAAGTGACCAATAATGTTCAAATTTTGACGGTAGGAAGCACATACACCTGTGGCATTGTGACAGACTTTGAATTATATCATTGACCGCAGAGAAGAGAAGCAGTCAAAAAATAGCATGAGTAAAACTGAGTACGGTTAGCAATTTCTGAACTTCTCTCTGCGTTGATACTAATGATTAAATGAGAATACTTCACATTCAAGGAAACGGCTTAATGGGCTGCAGTCAAGAATAATTGTGGTCAGCATTTCAAGTAAATTACTTTTCAACGCTAAAACTTATAGGAGCATTCCAAAACTACGATATAATCAAAACAAGGCACATGAGTCAATCGATAATGTACGAACACCGACTGCCAGACGGTGAACAATGGATCAGCTTGTTCAGCTCTTTCCAACCACATCCAGGCGAAAGAAAATAGTCACTGAATGGAATAGTTTATAATGCAGGGTAATTATGATAAAACAACAGTTAAAACGAATGACACACCTTATCCGTTCGAGAATCTTGATCCAATGATGTATTGTACTTGTAGTATGACTTTATGCATACACTCCGCAATAGTAGTTCAGAGAATTGTAGAGATAGGGTTTGTCTGAGGGACTTAGTTGCAGGCAATTCACAGTAACCCAGAATAGTTCGGTATTTTGAAATGGCTCCGGATATATTGCTTGAGATAATGCATATGTTAAAATAACGCAGTTAGGCCAACAAAGCAGACAGGCAAAAAATATTAAGCGTAAAGTTAATTTCTTGATGCTAAACGTCATGAAGTTGCATTTAAGTATTCCGCAAATCTGAGGATTTCGTCCATACAAAGATTTGAATCTCTATATTTGTTAGTCCTTGAATGAGCTGTTTTTATTTTTCAGTTTAGGATAATGCGAACAGAACCAGTAGATGTACATTTTCATACCACTACAGTTAATTCCTACTTAAAATTGTGGATGAAGAGAAGTTTAACAGACAGACGATCACAGTCAGACATAACGCCATAAGCCCAAAAGCTAATTTTATTTGTTCTCAACTATCTAAATGAAATAAGAACACAAGAATTTCTCAGCAAAACTCTGTTGGTTGCAGCCATCAGTCGACATCAACACAAGGTCCACCATCACAACATAAAGGGCTAAGTTTCCATGATTCACATAAGCACATCAACATACAACATAACAAGGTGAAAATACGAAGAAAATGAGCCATGAAAAGAATACGCGGTAGTTCAAACAGTGAATAGTAGTATGGTAATTAGGACGGAGATAATGTACGGATATGTGTCAGTAAAACTGGCTCTCACCCCTATTATCTACAATCCCGGTTATTACAGCAAGCTAGGAGTTAACAAGTCCTTATACAATTCAGATCAACAATTAAAAACCCTGTGGACTGAAACCAATTTCAGTTTGGTCGGATTTATTGTCTTCTCAACATAAACCTAGTTCGGCTAAAATTATGTGTCGGGGTACACGAAGACTATCCACATAAAACACGTTACAACCGACTTAAGTCGATCTGGTTCACAACCTTACCGAACAGGTTACCACCGTGCAAAATACTGCTAACCAGTCACATCGGTCCAGGGGACTTGGATGCAAAGACTGATGAAAATGTTCTGTATCTTTTTGGTTCCGCAATAAAAGTCACGAATATCAGCAACCATTCATGTACTACGCTATCATACCGAAGGCAATGATGCAATTCAATCTGGTGTTTGTATTATGCACTAAGTTATGAACAACACATTGTGACAGCTTACGACATTATCCGGTCACCCATGTCAACACAGAAATGTAGCCTAATACTTAAAAAAAACTGCTTGAAAGACGAGAGCTTAAGCCAGTTAGCTAACGTTACACACGGCTAAAATCACAGGCACCTATGACTACCGGTTTTACTTGATTATATTAACTTTGAAAAGGAATTTAAGTTGATAGAACATATTTATAACTATGCTTGTCTACTTGCTTTAAAAACAACTGACCGTCTGCTGAGTAGCTATATATATATATATATATATATATATATATATATATATATATATATATATATATATATATATATATATATAAAACTTAGGTTATTAGTACACTACAGTAATGCATGAATACGTAAGTTTATAGATCGAAGCATACCCTTTTTCAATCATAATTTCTGGGATTCTTTCTATCACTTTCTCTACAGTTGGTGGTAAAGTGATACATGAACTGGTGTTTTCCGGTTGGTTTCGATCTAGTTCCTGCAGGTGCTTTATACATAAATGACACGCCAAGTTGTAGAGTGCAAGGATGGAATCCTTTTCTTTTGACACATCAAGTGAGCCCTTTAGTTTACACTGCTCTTCTTTGCATAAACCTGTGAGATAACGAATTGTAAGAACAAAAACGAACCTAGTACAGCCAAGCCCTCACTTACAATCCGGTTGAAACGTAATGTAATGGGATCCATTTTGGTAGATGAAAGGTTTAGAGAGCTAAGTAGTTTAAGGGCTTTATCAGTATTTCCTTGTAGATAAAAAATCTTTCCCAAAAGAACAGACGCTTCGAATTTGTACTGCTCGTCATTGCTGCTGATAACTTCTTCCGCATATTTTCTGGCCTTCGACAAACTCCCTGTTGTCAGCTCTCCCTGGTCAGTCCATTCTATTTCGTTTTCACACAAAATCAGCTGATTCAATATATCTAAGATAAACAATACAACAGTTAATCTCCTCAAGAAATCATACGAAAGGGAGTGGAGCGGTCAGATCCATGAACTGATATGATATCTAAAGCTTTACTCCAATGTCCCTCAGCACGATATCGTTCAATCTCTGTTTCAACCTTCCCCTTCTTAGCTTTAACGGCCTTCAAAGTAGCCATCCAAATGAATGTCCCGCTGGAAGCTGATATATTCCAAATACTTGGTTAAAATCCAATAACCAATATCATTTTTACGAGCCAAAGTAAATCAACTAACTTTTCAGTGCTCATTTTTAGGTCCTTCGGAGTTATTCTAGAACATTTGTGGATTCCGATGCAGAAGGCTGACCCACTAGCCTGACGTAGTTCTGGTTAACTCGATGGGTGGCAGGTAGTTGATTAAATTTATTGGGATTGCATGATTTCTTCAGGCACTATCGTGCTGATGGATTGCTCAACTGATGTGCCTCCAGAAACGTGTTCGAACTGGTTTCAAAAAGAAGGCAGAAAGAATGGACAGACTTCCAGTAAAGACGAGGGAGAGACGAGGGAATAAAGTTGTAGAGAAGTGGAAAGAGAGTAAAGAAGAGACCTGGGTGACTTTAGAGAGAATGACAGTGATATGCGGAACCCTAGTAAATAAGGAGAGGTAACAGAGTCAGCGAGAGTCATAGGAGATTTTGGATGGATTACGGGAATAGAAATGGTAATTTTATTTTTGAGGGTGTGGCAAGTGGGAGTGAGACGTCCACCGTGGGAGTGTAAGGTTGGCTGAAGTTTGCAGCAACAGTGGTGATTCAAGAGATTCGGTACCGATTATACTTGTCTTGTCTTTTTACCACCTGAATAAGCGCAAGCCATAAGTTTCATAACCGTCCACACCCTTACTCAAGTTTGAGGACGGAGTGGAAGTATCCTTTTAAATGTCCTGTATCTCTGCAGGTGGCTGGCAAGTATGTTTCCTTGGCCTGAGTGTGAAAGAAAAAACGGAATTAAATCATGGCCAAGTTGCCTAAAGACACTACAATTAGATCAGTGTTTGCTACACAGTATGCTCGAAGTATTCAGATTTCTAGTTTGAAGACAGAGAACTGTTGGTCGACGCTAATGTTCTTCAAATCGACCTCTGTGTGCCACGTTACGCTATGCCAGCTGATGGCGAAGACACCACTTTTGAAAGTGTCAATCACGCGATGTAGAAACGAGTAGTCTACGTTGCTTACATTCGCCTTTGGCTTTTTCATTCTTATGTTGTATACTATGGAGAATTCCAACGTCTGAGAAACAAAAAGAGAAGACTGGTGATGGACATGATCATTTCCTCAACTCGTAGAGCACGTAAGTAGGCCACCTTTTCACCTGCAATCTGCTAAAGAGATTAATGATCAACTTCTGGAGTGAGTTCATGTAGGCTAGGACACCTGCCGCCAGCACCATCAATCTGGCCATCAGTTGACCTCTTCGCAAAACAAATGAGCCCATTTTTAGCAACAAACCAGAATTCTGAATACAGTTCAGCAGTTTACACCCAATAAGCTGTGTTGCCATCCGGGTGAACCTGTCGCGGCTAGTCCCAAACGACATTCCTTACATTGACCAAGTACTTTGTATAAAACTTTCCAATGGGTGCCTCTTGAAACGTAGAGTTTCAGTAGCACGTTGCCACTTCAATCTATTATGTGCAGTCATTCAAAACTGGCTATATGACTCCCCAGAAGCTATCACTTTATCCTCACATGATCTATTTCATTTCACCCTCGGATGCACAGCTAGTCATACAAGAACATTTTAGTGGCGGCTGACCGCCTTCCCACAATACAATTTCTTTGAACCCACTCCCGGTTATATCAAAATATGTATCCGGAGTTCGTTTTTTGAAAGACATGGCATTCCCTCAACCATGATACGCTTAGAAAGTGGTCCTTCTGCAAGGTGATTATTTAACAAATCGTTTCGGCTAGAAGCGTCTCTACTCACATGAAAATTACACTATCACTTAGGCTGTAAATGCGTCTGTGGCTGCAGGTACCATCAAATCCGAAAAAATTTCCCTTTGTCTCTCACTGTCTGACACTATTCGACATCATTCTTGATGAGACATGTGTATTTTTTGATGGCTCATTGTCATGTCATACCACCCCTTTCATTTTGATCCATGCTCTTCAGCAATATTGCCTTGGTACGAGACAGAAAAACAAAGCTAAAATTAAACCATTGAAGTGTTTTATCGCAGTAAATCCTTATGGTCGACAGTAAAACATAGGTAGGTATAACACTGTTAAGAAGCCGTCGGTCAGATGAGTGTGGGTTTCTATGTTTTTGCTTTCCTCATGAAATGAGGGCATCATACCAACTAATTTCGTTAACATGTTGTTATCCATAAGACCAGTGAAATGCGATGACCACTCTTTTTTCTTTGGGCTGGTGTTAGTGACTGGCCCTAATTTCTTATCAGTTAGCGATTAATAAGCATGGAATAACAAGTGGTATTTCGGCAAAGTAAATAACCAGATATGTGAGCAACATTTTATCTCATCATTTCACCGGAGGATAAATGGTTCCTGAAAATAAAAATGATACAAGTGATCACTTTATATTTATTACACGCACCGCTTAGTAGTTAATGCAAAGGACAACAAATTATAGACTCTGATAAACAATTTAAAAAGTCGAAACACGAGGAAAACATGAAGAACAATTTCGATTATGTATGGTCAAATCCGAGACTGTCAAGATGAGTGAGTCATGACGTGGGTAGTGTAGATTTCCTCACAGTCACCATTCTCATGAAGGTTGATGATGCTGTCTACAATACCAATGAGAGCTACATGAACAAGTCATTCAGCGCAGCTTATGAGACACCAATAAAATCCCTTTGCTTTTAAACCTAATACATCTGAGGTACGCATAGCAAACTAACAGTTAGTAAACTCTAGAAATTAATTTATGAGGCTGGTCTTACGTGTTTGACCTCACCCTCTCAAAACATCTAAGTAGTCTTCCCCTTTCTAGGATAAATGTTTGCTGAAAGCTAGGCGATTTTGATTGTTTTGTTTGCGAAAAGCATAAGCACTAAAATGAATAATACTGCCCATGAAATCTTTGAACACGGGTAACGTGAATAGTATCACATCTGTCCAACCAGAATGTCAATGCTCATACCCGAAACTACAGGTGACAACAAACAGGACACCAACAAGTAGTTCAAAAGAAAAACACCACAAGATTTAAAAAGATGCAGTTAATTAAGTTGTTCCCTATCAAATGTATACAAATCAAATTACTTTTCATAATTATGTGACTTTGGTGCACACCATACTTCTCCGGAAATTTGACTCAAGTTACGTGGAGTATAATAATATTAGAATTATTATTCCACATTGCATTATCATTATTATTTGTCCCTTGGGTTCCTAGTGGGACGTGGGGCTTCGGTAGCACTTCGCCACTTCACTCTATTCTATGAAGTTTTTTTAACCTGGCTCTGTGACTCCCCACAAGCTTTCATTTCTTCCTCATATGATCTCTCCCATGTCGCCCCCGGACGTCCAGCTCGTCATTTCCCCCTTGGGTTCAACTCAACAGTCTGGCTCGGTGCGTGATATCCCCAGTCGGCCTTCTCAGTGTATGCCCAGTTCATCTCCACTTTCTTTTGCATATTTACTGGGTGATGGGTTCTTGGTTGGTTCGTTGCCAGCCAGATTTCCTTGTCGCCTATTCTCTCCGGCCACCTGATCATCAGTATCTAGTGTAGGTGGCAGCTGTTGATGAATGTCTGTAGTTTGTTGGAAACGCTTTTCGGGACGTACCAAGTTTCCGAACCATATAGTAGCACTGACTTGACTGACATTAGTGTTCAAAACCCGGATCTTGCTCTTTGTTCTGAGTGCAGTAGATCTCCACACTGATTTCAGGTTGATGAAGGCCTTTCTTGCTTTCCCGATCCTGGTTTTGACATCCTCATCTGTTTGACCGTCGCCTCCTGTAGTTGAAACGATGCTGCCTAGGTAGGTGAAAGAGACTACTGCCTTTAGGTTCCTCCCACTAATGGTTATTGGTGCTTATTGTTGTTGATTGGGCATCTTCATCGCCTCCGTCTTCTTTACGTTCATCTGAATAGCTTCTGCGCTGCCTCTTCTGTCAACTTGTTGGTTTTTGCCTGTAGATCTTCGATTTAGTGTGACACCGGACATAAATCACCATTGGCGAAATCTAAATTTCCCAGGGATTTTTCATCTGTCCAGCGTATGCTCATCTTTTCGCTCCTCACAGTTTGTTGCGTGATCCAGTCCAGTCCAGTAGGCTACAATCAGTAAGATCACCGGTGATAGTGGGCAGCCTTGTCTTACTCATCTCCACTTCAATTCAATGGCTTTCCATTGTGAATCATTTGGGATGAAGCATCATGTAGCATATAGCTGTTGAATGGGGTTTACAAAGGTTTGTGTCACTAAAACCGCAGTGTTGAAGCAACTTCCAAATTACTTCTCTGTCTACGCTGCCGAAGACCTTAACGAAGTCGATGAAGTTGAGATGGAGCATTGGCTGCCATTCTATCCTCTGTTCTATGATGATGCGTAGCGTAGCGCTGCAGTTTGATCCCCACACGAGTTGTTATTCCTGAACTCAGTCGGCAAGCCTGTTCCGGTTGTAATTTTGAATCCAGCTCATCCTTTAGTCTCTCCAGAATGATGTGGCTTGATATTTTGCTTGGAGTGGACAGGAGCATGATTCTGCACCAGTTCCTGCAAAAGCTTAGGTCTCCCCTCTTTGGAAGTTTGACAAGGCAACCCTTCTTCCAATCGCCAGGTGCCCTTCCTTCCTTCCAAACCCTCTGCAATAGTGGTGTGAGCACGCTCGCTGTTGTCTTTGCGTCTGCTTTCAGTGCTTCTGGTGGGATTCCCTCCGGTCCTGATGCTTTCAGGTTCGGGGTTCGTAACTTAGATGATGACAATTTAGTTTGTTTCAGTGGTTTTAAGTTATTTTGACAAGGTCGATGCCTTTCCAAGATGAAATGGGGAGAGGATATAGCAACATTTATCTACACAAACTGGTCCACTTCCAACTATTCAAACTTTGGCTTCTCCAAAGGGAAAATTGACCACATTACCACTTAGTGTCATCCAAAACGTTTGAGGAAATTATTATTATTAGTCCCCTGGGTTCCTAATGGAACACAGGGTTTCACTAGCACGTCTCCAGTGACCTCTGTTCTCTGAGATCTTTTGAACCTGGCACCACGACAGCCCACAACCTCTCATTTCCTCCTCGCACGATCTCCTCCATGTCACCCTCGG